ACTTGTGTTTTTCATTGTTATATAAATATATGTTAAAAAAATAAATAAATGATTTTGTTAATGTTCAAACAGTACCTACTCCGGTCTGTATCCGTTTACTATGATGTAATTATTGACCGGTAATTGATAACTTTAAAAAATACAAACAAATTGACATTTCCTTTACGTTTTTTAATTGACAGCAACTTTCACAGAGAAGCAGTTATAGATTATAATTATCTTCAACTTTTTAATTTAGGTATGTATTATATTTTTTGTCTATTTTTCACCGATTTATCTAAACATTTGATTCCGGTAAATTTTATTTTTGATTATTTTAACCGATGACTGTTTGCAAGTAAATCAGAGAAAAGTTAAAATTTGTTATGTGACTTAGATTAAAGGAAGGAATACTTGAAAATAGTTAAATAAATAAATAAGTATAACCTACCTGTATTCATCTATATTTACCTGTTTTTTTCCTGTAAAATAAATGCGTGCAAATGGAACCAAATGCTACGCGCAAACCTAATAATTTTTACTCGCAAATGTAATTGTAACCGCGCAAATGTAATGCATCATCAAAACCAATGTATACTTATTTTAATTTATAGGCAAAGAATGCGTCACAAATGAAGACTGTTTTCAATTTAGATATATAAATGTGTACGCTCAAAATGTATTGCTCTTTAGAATTTGAAGACATGTTTTGGCACATGTTGTATTTTCTGAAAAGCAAGAATTTACAAATGTAACGTTCTTTTTATCTCGAGTGCTTCACGTTGCACCTCGATAAAACGACTTTCACCTTTGGGTCGTGAATTTGCAAATGCCAACCTTTTATATGTTTATACGAGACCAAAGCAAAGGAACAATGCATATATTGCCGTATTTTGCCTCAACGCCACCATGCACTGTCGCAAATTTCCTGCTAAAATCATTGAGCTATACAAAACCAAGACACATATTTTAGATAACGAAGCGGCACATCAAGTTGTATGTAAGCCCGACTCCGGGTGCGGGATTTTCTCGCTGCGTTGAAGACTCATTGGTAGCTTTGGGCTGTTTTCTGCTCTTTGGTCGGGTTGTTGTCTCTTTGACACATTCCCAGTTTCTATTCTCTATTCTAGTTAACTTTACAGGAAATAATATACGAATAAGCTATTCAAATGAACTTCATAACAATATTGCCGATTTATATAATCGCACTTTCTGCTTGCGAAACAACATTTAATAATGTAGCAGGGAGACTAAACAGAAAGATAATAAAATTACAAACATAATGTAAAAGTCGCTTAAATTAATGAAAATCTACAAAACGATCAAGATCAAATGATAAAACAGTTCATTTTTTCTGAAAAAAAAAATACAACTGAAAATTTAAGGTCATTTGAAATTTGAGATAGCATGATCACTTGACGAAAGTTCCCGTATACAACTGCCATTTATTCAGAACTTGTCAAATTCTGAAATTCTAGAATAGGAATATTGTAAACAGACAATGTAGTAATACAAGGAATACAAAGTGTTTTTCAATATTAGTCCTACAGATACGATCTAAACAGCTTTAATTAACCCTCTTTGGGTAATTAGAAAATGTACTTCGGTGGGCTATTCCTGTAACTCTTTATGTCCTTATTAAACAACTAAACAACAGCAAAACTATTCTTTTTTTTTCGGTCACCTGATAATTAACAATAGATATATTTGTGCGTGTGATTTTATAAGATGTCTTAAGCGAGATTTTAACTTTAACGCAACCTAACGTTTTCAAAATGACGACAAATTTATTTCGCTGCAGCATTTTACTTGTCTTCTTAACCGTTAAAGGTGAGTATAAATAATTTGTATAAGAACTGAGATAACAATTTATCGATATGCTCTTAAAAGTATATCTATTACACCTTCTTATTACTAGATTTTGCTTTGATACATGTATAAAACTCAAACACAGCCGAGAAAAACAAATACTGTTCTATTTTGATGTACAGATATTCTTTGATATATACACAGAATCATTACATATTATGCGAATCATATTCAAGTTTCGAAAAACTGAGTCCAAGATGTGAATTTAGGGGATTGTTTTTTCATGAAACAACTATTACTTTTTAATATCCAGTCGATCAAGTGTTAAGATAAGTGCAAAGTTTAAAAAGAAATAAATTTCGACGTTCACATTTAGCAAATATATTCGCAAGTGAAGATAATAGACGACTGAGAAAAAAGATTTTTGACAATTCTGGGGAAATTGTTACTGTTTTTATTTTATAAGTCAATAGTTGTCTTTTTATTTCAAATATTAAAATCGAATTTGAAGAAGAGAAATATTTTATCGATAAGTTAAGAATGAATTATTTTATGAAAACAGATAAGATTGAAACGAAGAATGTTCTATGTAAAACATTAACATATTAATGGGAGATTTTTATGTCTTCTATAGTTATTTTGCACAGCTTCGAGTTTTTGTTATATATCAAACTATTAATATGGATTTTGTTTTAATTGAACTGAATCTAAATGAATATACATTGAACATTTTTTTTTTCTCAGACTAATACACTTTTAATAACTGATATCATATGTTCTACTGAACTCTCTCGCTGCCATCGGAATGCGTCATCCACTCACAGTTAAGATGCAAACTTGTGGCCTATTGTTCGAATGTAAAATTTGTACAGTAATATTTCATTGAACATATTCATTTACATATACAATAATTGAAAGTGTCCAAATTACATAACTAAAGAAATAATCAATGAAAAAAGTCAAACCCATATAATAACCTATGCAATTTTTTTTATAATATTACATAAATTATATGAAAAGAAGATCTTTGAATTAATCTACTTATATGCTAATGAAAGTTTTTTGCATTTCTTATAATTACACTTTTATGCTAATAAGACCATGAAAAAAAAGTTATCGAGTTTTACTTTTATTTACCTGTGCACTTTTTTGTGGAAGCACATGTCATCACGAATGTAACATTTCATTTTGATATTAAGATGAATTATTGAATGACGCACGATTGTTATCAATCAAAGAAACGGATTCTCGTGAAACATGCATGTTCTGTTCTCGTACTATGAACAACAAAATTATTTATTTTGTAAAATATATTTCCGTACTCCATGTATACCTTACCACAAAATTATTTGTATTTACCTGTGTACGTTATTTTATTTGGCGGCATTTTGTCCAAAGTTATGGTTGTCTTTCTGATATTGTTTTACATCTCACCCCACTTTTTTTTTTTATTAATTTTGTATTTACATTGTGTCATAGATCACATTTATTCGTTCAGTGGATGTTTACTTGTTACTGTTGATATGTCTTTTGATTGATTAAGCCATTTCAATTGATATTTTATAGTGTGTCTTTCTATGTTGTGATGTTACAATATTGTTTCAGGTTAGGGTGAAGGTTGGCGCCTGTTAAAACGTTTAAACCCGCTGCATTTGTTTGTACCTGTCCTAAGTCAGGAACCTGTTGTTCAGTGGTTGTCGTTTGTTGATGTGGTTCATAAGTGTTTCTCGTTTCTCGTTTTTTATATAGATTAGACCGTTGGTTTTCCTGTTTGAATGGTTTTACACTAGTCATTTTTGGGGCCCTTTATAGCTTGCTGTTCGGTGTGAGCCAAGGATCCGTGTTGAAGGCCGTACTTTGACCTATAATTGTTTACTTTTACCAATTGTAACTTGGAGTTGTCTCATTGGCACTCATACCACATCTTCTTATATCTATGTAATGTAATTATACTCAAATGAATGCACGCAAGAATAATTATTAGATCATCGATTACGGTTCATTGCTAAAGGTTTCATTATATTTACCTAGTTCTAGTTGAAGGATGCGATGAGCAATCAGGTTGGACAGGTTGGAGTTCCTGCACGAGATCATGTAACAAAGGTACAAGGACAAGGAGTAGGGAATGCTGCACCAGTTGGTGGAATTGGGGTTGGTGTGGCGGGACGAGCACAGAACACAGTTCATCATCTTGTAATACGCAATGTTGTGCAGGTAAACCATAACAAATGTCCTTGAATCTTTTTGTTGATTAAGATTGTAATCTTGATGTTATAGGATTTATTTTATCTTTCAAACATAATTGACATGATTTTTTTTATTCTTTGAAGTTCTTGATAAATGCCGAAAGTGATGAAGCTCTTTTCTTGTTTGTTTGTTGATAGCCTGCATTGACAGACAGTGTAGATGATTAAAAATTTATTTAAGATGAAAACATTAAGCAAAAGACTAGGAGCTTCAAATTTTCTTAAAAACTACGTAGAATTAAAAATTCTCATAGTAAAAAGATATATTCATAATTCATAGATCTGTTATAATGCTTTTCAAATGTTGAAACTTCCTCTGGCAAATTTGACAACCTAATGATCCAAAAGCACATATTATGCACACTTATTTGATACATGATTTGTACTACCACTGTTACCTCTGCTGGAATGAAATCCCTCTCTGAGGATAGCACAAAGCCAGATTCAGTTTTTAAGTATTGGCATGCTTAGCATTTTTCTGTCTCAAAATTTGCACTTGGTAAAATTATGTGGTCAACTACGATTGCAACTCCCTCGGTTGAAGTTTTGGGACTTGATTTTTATCTTTTCCCAAACATTTCTTTAATTGACTGTAGAACCTTTTGGTCTCGAGCGTAATACCAAAAACTCGTGTTGTGGGCATATACATACTGTCTTTCGTTTTTTTCTACCACTGGAACGGTGCCTCTACTGATTGACTTTCAGTCCCCGATGGTACCATCTACTAAGTTGTGAGTGCTTCGGTATTAACATGTTTTTAATAATTACTTTTTGGTAAATTTCAAGTGACCAAATTATGTAATGATGCCAATTTAAAGGTGACATTGACTGTTCTGTTTATGGCCTTATAGGTTTAATGTTCTTAAACAGTTTCTACATTCCAAATATTGGTCCGTAGCGTACCGTATGGAAGTTATTCCAGAAACACATCAAATGTTTATTGGAGTAATATCATACTTTTTTCAGTACATGGTTCTTGGAGCTCATATGACCCATGGAATAACTGTCCAGTTACCTGTGGTGGTACTAACAATAACCAGTACAGATCTAGATATTGTAACAAACCACAACCATCCTGTGGAGGATCTAGTTGTTCTGGTACCTCAAAGCAGTATCAGATATGTAATTCTTCTCCTTGTCCAGGTAATTTTTTTTATGAATATATCAATTTATAATGATTAATAATAAATGTAATTTCCAGTAAAGCACTAGTGCACTTGCTTTAAGTTGTTATAGTAAAAAAATATCATAAGATACAGGTTTTCGTATACTCACTGTACTACCTAACTTCATTTTATATCAGTTGACGGTCAATGGAGTGAATGGTCCAGTTATGGGTCATGTCCAGTCACCTGTGGCAGTGGAGCACATTCCAGATATAGAACATGTAATAATCCCACCCCTGCCAATGGCGGTGCATCATGTAAAGGATTGGACACAGAGTATGCTATATGCTGGAGCGGAGAATGTCCTGGTTAGTTTTATAAACATGTTTCATTGTTTTGTTTAGTTTAGTTTCTATTGCAATAATGATCACAGAACAGTTCTAAAAGCTGTTGAATGAAGTTTTTGCAATTTCAGCCCATAATACTTAAATCAAAAGAACAAATGAGAAAATTTTTAGCATTAAGCTTTGACCTTATCCATATTTTCTTCCGAAAGTTAAAACCTAAAGCATACATTTACATTTAAAATGTAAAATTAAATAGATAAGGATTTATATCAGCTTTCGATATTGATAGTTAACGGAGACTGGAGTGAATGGTCTAAGTACAGCGCATGTCCAGTGACTTGCGGAGGTGATACGAACACCCGGACAAGAACATGTGACAATCCAATTCCTGCTCACGGGGGAAACGATTGTGTGGGTTACAGCAGTGAAAATGGAGTTTGCAATACTCAAGACTGTCCTGGTATATTTTTAAATTAATTTTCTAGAGGAAAGCATATATTGTTGATATTTTATAATCACATAGTTTCATAATTAATATCAAATAAATTCAATTCTATAAGCAGAAATGCAGAATACAAATGTACATATCCCAAATTATCATTTTGCAAGTATAGAACATCAAAAATAGGATTTAAAATTACATAGTTGCAGAGATCCAAATTAAAAATTGGAAAGTTGGAATTTAAAATCTACTGAGGTACATACTTACAATTTAAGAATTGCAATATTTGAATATTGACCCCTTTGTCTTTTCATACAGTGTTATATTTCAGATTATTGCAAATATACACCTTGTCAGAACGGGGCATCATGTGCAAATATTCACTACGGTTACAAGTGCACTTGTGCTGAAGGATTCCAAGGCATCAACTGTGACATAGGTGAATGTTTTATCATATATATATATATATATATATATATCCATATTCGTGTGTTTCTTTGTCCTATATGTTCTCCCATTTATTTGTATTGTGGCCCTGTCATGTGATGTTGTCGTTTTGGTGTTGTGTTTGACGTTGCCATAAAAGCGGGAGGTTTGGCATGCCACAAAACCAGGTTCAACCCACCATTTTTTTCTTAAAATGTCCTGTACCAAGTCAGGAAAATGGCCATTGTTATATTATAGTTCGTTTCTGTGTGTGTTACATTTTAATGTTGTGTTTTTGTTGTGTCGTTGTTCTCCTCTTAAATTTGATGCGTTTCCCTCAGTTTTAGTTTGTAACCCGGATTTGTTTTTATCTCTATCGATTTATGAGTTTCGAACAGCGGTATACTACTGTTGCCTTTATTTATCTGATTGTGATGAATTCTGTAGAACTATAATATAAATGGATATGAGTTTTTAATCGTCCAATGAATCATTGGTCAAGAAAATACTTGTGGATTAAAAAAAAAAAAGTATTTGCGATTTACAGAATGTTAGCACATATATATTAAAAAGATATATTTATATAACCTTTGAGATAATATTAAGTCAGTTATACAAGAAAGTACGATCCACTTTTATTTAAAATATTGATGATTGTGTGTCTGTGTACTGTCATCAAGGTGGAAAGTGTGTAGATGAAGTTAATGCTTACAGTTGTGTATGTGTTCCAGGCTACGCTGGTGTTCATTGTGAACAAGTTGTATTAAGCTTTGTTATCTTTTATTTGATTTGCTGAATGAAACAATATATTTTAGCAATTTTTAAATATGTCTTTGGTAATTTAAATTAAATTGTTAAGATTCCCAATAAGACATTTACAATCTAAATATTTATATTATATCTAGTCAGACAATCAAGTTCTCGTTTGTGTTTTATTTTATCCTTCATTTTTTCACTCGTTATATTTTCAAACTAATATACTGTGAGTAATAGGTAATGTATTCATATATCGTTCTGAGTATAAATATTGTATACTCAAACCCAGTTTATAGGCATTGCATACACTTATTGTCCTGTGTATAGGCATGTTTAACTAAAATAGTCCTGAGTATAAATATTGTATACACAAATAGTCCTAAATATAGATATTGTATATACAAAGTCCTGAGTTTCGAAATTGTATACACAAATAGTCCTGAGTATATATATTGTATACACGCATATTCCTGAGTATAGAACTTGTATACGCAATCGTCCTTTGTATAGATATCGTAAACCTTAAAGTCCTGAGTATATGCCTTGTGTACACAAATCATCAATTGTATAGTAGGCATTGTATACAAAAGTAATCCTGAGTAAAGTAATTGTATACACTTAATAAGCTCGAGAGTAGGTATTTTATACATTAACCGTCCTGAGTATAGACATTATATACATTAATCATCACGAGTATATGCATTGTTTACAAAAATCGGTTTTAGTGTAGCTATTGTATACACAAATCGTCATAAGAATATGTATAGTATACACAAATCGTTCTGAGTTTCAGCATTTGATACACAAATCATCCTGACTATAAGTTTTTTATACACACAAGGTTTTTGAAAATAGGATTTGCATACACAAATTGTCCTGTGTTTATGCATTGAATACACAAATTGTCTTGAGTATAAATAGGATACACCTGGGATACCCCTGAGTCTATTTTCATTATCGCCACCGCCTTTGCAAAAATAATATTTTTTTCGCCACTTTCAAGTTTTTTTGTAATTTGTTTATTTTTGATATAAGGACAAAATACATCAAGCTTGATTACACGTGTACAGTTTCATGTTTGTTCCTTAAGATATTTCCTTTTACATCTAACTCTAAATAGCCAAAATAAAAGAAGTAAAAGTTGAGACATAAAACCATGGTTAAAAAAGGTGCGCTGATAAAGCGATTGTTGAGTACCCACTTCAAAACAATTATTTTATCAAGGTTGTAAAAACAACCATTTAGTTGACATGTGCACCGTTTTACCACACAATTTAATTAAACAATACAATTAACACCGTTATGAATTAGTCCATTTGTTGTCGATATATAACTAATGCAATCAGCTGATTATTGATTTTCTGTCAAAATCGTATTGCGTGAACGAGTTCGAGTATTGTCTGGTCTGATTAGGGAAAAATTCTCAGAAACCTAAAAAGAATAGACAAGAATGACGAAATCAAACCGTTGTATTTGCTCTCCAAAGTCTTTCTCCAATAAAGATGCTAATCGCCACAATTGTTTTTACCTCAAAATGCAAAAATAGCGACCACCAGCAGAATCCCTTGTGTACATAGGCATTGTATACCAAAATCGACATGAATATAAATATCGTATAAATAAATCGTTCTGGGTATAGGCATTGTATTAACAAATCGATATTAGATGATGTAGTATGAGTGCCAATGAGACAACTCTCCATCCAAGTCACTGATTGTAAAAGTAAACCATTACGGCCTGGATATAGGCATTATATGTACAAATCTTCCTGAGTAACGGTTTTGTATATCAACATCGTCCTGAGTATCGATTTTATATACAAACATCGTCCAGATTAAAGGCATTGTATACATATATCGTTTAGTCTATAAGTGTTTTATACACAAATCGTCCTGAGTATAGGTATTGGATAAATTAATAATTCTAAGTATACATATCATATATTCTTATCGTCCTAAGTATGAGTATAGTTATTGTAAACACTTATAGTTTTGAGCATATATACACATATCTATAAGGGTATAGGTATCTTTACATAAATCGTCACTAGTTGAAGTGGTGTACGCACAAATCGTCCTGATGTTATAAAGTGTGTACACAAATTGTCCTGAGTATTTGAAGTGTATACACATATAGTTCTATGTATGTGAAAATAAGGATTATTCTTATTAGTTGAAGTTTGTTATGCTTTATACCGACCTGATGATTCAAACTCCTTCCAACTGACTTTTTCAGTATGTTCTGATGTTGTGCTGTAACACAACTGTTTCATCTTAGGCGGAGACTTAATCGCTCACAAACATGTTTAACCCCATCACATTATGTACATGTCCCTATTCAGGAGCTTGTTATTCAGTTTATTTCACTTCTTGTCATGCCATTGCCTTTCATAGATAACTGTACGATTTGGGTTTGCTCATTAATTATTGCCTTGAGGTGATCTGTAGTTGTTTACACCTTCGTACGATGTTGTCTGATGTATGTTTGTCTCATTGGCAATCACAACACATATACTTATATTTATACTGATTATATGTATTTTATACACAAATTGTTCTTATTATACGCGTTATATACACTGCTCGTGCCGAGTCGCTTTGAACGAACATGAAATGCTGAATCGGAAGTTTCAAAGAAAACAGGTTTTCAATGTTCATCAACCAGTTCTAGAATATATCCGCTAGTCTATTACGGCTTTAGTACCTGTATACCTGTATCGTGTCTGTAGAAATCGGTATGTACTTATCATTTAATAAATTCATAAAACTGTCACAGTATCATCAATAAATAAAATTGTATGGAGAAATTCTCATACTTTTTTCTGTTGAAACATCAAGTATGTAAATTATGCATAAATTCTCCCCCCCCTTAAAAAAGTCCATAAGAATAACTACTAATGAGATACAATATTGAAGTTTTGATTATTAATCATTATATCATTCGTTGTTTGTTATTGTTTCAATATGGATCAGTGATTTAACAACAAAACCGAAACATGTCATTATATAAATACATTGTATGTAACGCATTTGTTTTTAATAATTAGAATAAAATTTCCTTACACATCTGTATTATCGAGAAGGGAGTTAAAAGAACTATTGAATGTTAAGATATTGAATGAAACTATGAGTTACAATTCAGAATGTAGACCATTCCTGTTACTCACTATTTGGTGTAATGTCTTTTTACCGTAAATGATTCAAATATTTTGGCTGCTGGATCCCAATTATTGTCACATAAACCTATTGTGTCTGTTTAGGTTGCTCCCCCAAATTTGTCAATATAACGGAATTATAAACAACTGTCATACAAGTGGGAGCTTAAGCTAGCTATAAACCAGGTTGAACCAACCATTACTTCGAAAAATTCCTCTACTAAGTCAGGAATATGACAATTGTGTTCCACTCGTTCCGTTGATTGATTAAATTTGATTTTGTCAATTTTGATGGACTTCCCCTTTTTGAATATACCATGGAGTTTGGTATTTTTGTTATACTTTTTTTAATAGTTATATCTATATTGATCGTATTCTACTCATCCGTTTACGTTGTAACATTGATTACTTCAAACTGTTCTCGCGTTAGGTTTGTTTCGCACAGTAAAGGTCAACTTGGAACTCATCAAGGAAACCAGGCAAAGAACAATATTTTACATCAAAAGAGATGATTTCAGTTTAAATATTATGGACTTTCTAATTAAACAAACGCCAATTCAACAACATCGATATATGAGGTTGATATCTTGTAGGTAACTGAAATATTCTAGAACCTGTATCCTGATAGTAATGTAAAGATTTAAAATGACTATCCAATGTTTTTGGAATATTGCCTGTTACTTCCCCTTAATCTAGTGTTGCCTCTTCCGACGTATACTTTACTTTGAATGATCTTCCAGAATCTAACATTTTTCATTCTATCATGTCTATTGCTCAAATAGATATCCATTTTTTTTATATATAAAATAGTACGAACTTTATTTAAACGTACACAAGTACTTGTAAATCTTGCGTGCTAAAAATTAATAAATAATAGAACACATATTTATAATCTTCCCATCATTAAGCCCTTTTGTACCTTCTGAGATATTTGATTGATAATGGGTCTTCAAGTTACAGAAAGGGTAATGTATTATTTAAAAAAAAAAGAAATTACCATTTCTTATTAGAAAAAGGAACAAACAACAACAAATTGTAAAACCGCCTAATTGTACAAACAAATGCAATTAAATAAACAAAATAAGTTACATTGCCTCTATTTTGAGTTATATTTATTGCATTAGAATAAGGTCAGTCTGACAAAAGGTCTTTGTTTATTTTTTTACTATTCACGAATTATTTCGAACAATACACATAAAAACAAACGAAAACACCATTTTCAGAAAACTTTCGATCATTTCACTTAATTTCGTTGTTGTAAGTAGTTCGTTTTTACAGACTTCTTCAAAATTTAATTAACATTTTCCATATGCATATTTTATCTTTTGAACATTGGTGAAGAGGACAATTATTTTTAAGTATGTTTCAATATCATGATAATTTTTGATAAATTAAGAGAATTATAGTTGACAATGTAAGCAATCGGAAAGGGTACTAACCGTTAATAGTGTGCGAGTCATGTGTTTCATTGTAAGAAAGACGCTCTTAACGGCATCAAAAGTGAAAGAAATGCAAGTTTTCATTTGCCGATGTTATCTTTGAAGCTCATATTTGACTATGAAAATATCAATACAGCCATGAAACATCAAAACATGAAAACGTTCATGATGTGAATTAACTGGAAGTGTCAGACAAAATCAAAGCAATTCGCGTTGATATAATGCAAACATGAACATTTTTACTGCATTTTTTTTAGAAGTTATGAAATAAGCGATTATTATCACCAGTATCGATCTGCTTCCTGAATTCAGCACTAGAGGAAATAGGATTTCATTCTGATCGTTCGAAGCATACGCATTATTTTTTGCATATGTTGATGTTTTAACGGGAAAGCATGCTAATTGTTCCATGAACAATTTAAATGACAGCTGTTCATTATTAAATATTAAAAAAAATATCGTCTTATCGGTGATGGATATAGTTTGATAATCGGTATATCTTTTATTTTTCCTCAAGTATAATGTAGTAGTTAAACTGAAAGATATTCAATCTGCATATGCAATTTGACTGTATAAGATATGGGACGTTTATTTTATAAAATAAATAAATTATATTTATAATATTTTAGATGTAACCAGACTAAATTTTGATGGAGTGTCTTACTTATCTTCTAGGATTTTCACTTTTGGTGCAAATTATTGCAAAAGGTAAGCTTATCGAAATGTATCATCATTACAGATCGATAAAAAGTGTCAACATTTTATGACTCAAAATTCCAGTTATGGTATAATTTGACGATAAAGACCGAAGTATATTTTTTTATTAATATATTTTGTTGGGTTGCTTTCGTATTGATCACTGCATCTTCTTTCATTCACTATCAATGCAGATTGTTATCCGTGAAAAAATCTTATTAAAATAAATTAAGAATAATGAATCCATGATCAAATTACAAACGATTATGGCTGACGTAACAATTGTGAAATATAAGTCCAACATATATTATTTCTTAATATTTATTTTTATTGTTGAACACTAAAACACTCCAATTTTACAGATATATTTCTAAACCAAGATATTTCCTTAAGTAAAAAGGCAGCCACAAAATTTTTAGTTCGTCGCAAGAGGGACTGGTGGACGTCAGCTAATGAAGAATGTAGAGAGGGCTGTTCTTGGGAAGAATGTGAGGAGAATTCGTCATCTAGAGAGGGAGGCGTTAGTATATTTAAATAAATATGATAAATAAAAGTGTTACTGATTACTTTTATTAGATTTGAACTTCTTCAAGAAGCTTAACAATCTTTGTATTCTTTGGTCTGGTTTTTCGAGAAAGCAAATCGTTAAAATATATCTAATCTCACGATACGACTTTAAATTGGAATATCTAAAGAATACTAATCAAAACTGTAATAAGTTAGTCCTAATACAAATGATTTTAGGGCATTCGTTTTCCATTAAAGTAACACATTTAGTTTACTCTAATAAGAATAATAAAGTTATACAAAGAATGGTAATGATGAGTTAAGATGTAATATAATTTATATAAAAATTTCACAGCAACAGCAAACTTCCAAATCAAATCTGTGTATCTATGAAAGAGGTTAGTAGATATTTTAATATTTGGAGCATGGAAATCGATGAACCACTAATTTGTCCGTCCAACACAGGCCAAGTTCATTGAAATAAAAAAAAAACATCACAAAAGACAATACGGACACTACTGACACGGGCAAGAAAGATGCAATGAACTGTACATTTTCATTATTAATCTTTTCACTGCAACTAAAATTACCTTGCACACAATTGCATGGTATTACATTCATAGAACCAGGAAATACAACAGACAAACGAACACGAAAAGGCGTTGTTTTAATTTCACTGTCATAAATTTAACGTTCAACAATTATTATGGAAAACTTTATACAATTAATAATCAAAACGTTGTTGTTATTTTTAGAGAGAAATCATGAAAAAATACAAATGCAGATCGTATTCCTGTTCTTCAGGATGTACAAATACCAATTCTAACTACGGACATATAAATTATCTAACTGTTGGATGTATCGGTAAGGCATATGGAAATATGAATAATTTTGTGGTTGGATGTATTAAGAAGTAAACATGCACTTCATCTCACTCTTTTATCTGGTGTTAAAATGTCATTAAAGTAGTATTTTAAAACAAATGTTACAAAGTTAAAAGGATGAAGTATTTAAATGAGTTTTACCTGATTTAATGTTATATAAGTTAATGAATAAATTGATAAGCTAATAAATGAATTAAATCTCTACGCACAGTTTTCATTAGTGTAACACTACTTTTAGTTCATGGAGGATGGTCTTCTTGGGGAAGTTGGTCTTCTTGTACAAAATCTTGTGGAAGTGGAACCAGGTATCATACACGATCGTGTAACAATCCTAGTCGCAAAAATGGTGGAAATTACTGCTCGGGTAGCAGTTCGTATTACGCCTCCTGCAATACACAGGGATGTCCAAGTAAGTAGTGGAGATACCAGGTTGATTAAACAGAATATTTATGTTAGATAGTTTGTGGTAAAAACCAAATTTATACTGCTATAATTAATCATAATGAAACACATAATCATTTTGACATATCTTTAATTAAAAAGTTTAAGAGCTATTTTAGAGGGAGAGTCTTATTTATTATTTTTTATTTTTTTTTCGTGTTTAGATTTTTTTTACCTGTTTACGTGTTGCATCATACAAATTTACATCAAGTATCACTCGTCCATAAATGATATTGATATAGTATTAGATGCATGCCTATCTTATATATGCTATAGCAGTCAATGACACGGAAAATATTATTGGTTATCCGAATATCATAGATATGTTTGTACTTCAATTTTGCAAACTAAAGTCTTACAATGACATATAATAAACATATATCGATACCGAGGGGACATTTAGGATATATAATTTGAAAAGGTCAGACAACTCCATTGCTAAAAAAGGTGAAATATTACGACGAAAATACACAGGTCCATAGCACCAAACAGATGCTTAAAACTGAACCAAAATACAAACCAAGGGCACCACGCTAGATCCAGTATTTACTGCTACTTTAGTGGCAGATGTTACTCATGTTAAAATCCAATGATCAATGAAAAGACATTGCACAATATCAAGTGTGGAAACTTCGATGTATGCAACTTTCTACCCTTAGACATGGTCAAATGTGAAAATTTGAAATAATCATGCAAAGTTAAAAAAAAATAATTATATCAATCGAATAAAAAACCTTTAAACATTTCTATTATGTAGTTAATGGAGGTTGGTCGTCATGGGGAAGTTATGGATCTTGTTCTAAAGATTGTGGAACTGGCTATAAATATAGCTACAGATACTGTAATAATCCATCACCAGCTAATGGCGGGGCGTCTTGTTTGGGTAGTACTGTGACAAGTAGTGCCTGTAACACTCAGGCATGTCCAGGTATGATGCATTGTGTCACATAATAACAAACAATAGGTTATATTCATTTTGTCCACTTTCAAACAAATTGATAATTACATATGTTCCCAAAGTAAAAAGAATTTCATTTTGTGTAAATTATGATTTAATTCTTCTTCTAAACTATGATAAATTTAATTACATATTATATAAATATGCCTATAAGTTACTATATTATGCATTATCACATACTTAGAGTGAATAACTTATAATTTTTACAGTATGATAATAGCATTAAGTTTACGTGAATTCCATATTTTCCGAAAGGTGCTTAGCGGTCTTATATGAAAAAAATATCGCAAAACAAATGTTAGGAAAATGATACAATAAATGCATTTTTCAAAGTTTCAAGCATAATTTAGCAAGTTACTTTACAAATGTTGAATTTTCCAAACAGTGTTCATTATGTTTTGATGATTTTTTTTATCGTCAATATAAAAATATATTATACTGTTATTTTTCTCCACTGTTGAGGCATATGATAGAAAGATTTCATATCGGATGTATTACATTTGGCGTCCGTCGTCCGTAAACTTTTCACTTTTTGAACTTCTACTTGAGAACCACCTAAAGGATCAATATATTAAACTGTTATTTTTCTCCGTTGTTGAAGCGTATGGTAAAAAAATTATAACATGTCATTTTTCATATCAGATGTATTATCAGCCCTCGAGCCTTCGGCTCTTGGGCTGATATTGAACCTTGCGCTGATAATACATCTGATATGAAAAATGCCGGCTCGAGGGCTGATAATGACCGAGGGCTGATAATTCATCTGATATGAAAAATGACATGTAATAATCTGATATTATTAATGCACAACATATAAATAGCTTTTTGCAGCCTTTGTTTAATTCACATATATAAGCGAAAGAAATGTAAAATGGGTCTATATCAATTGTTAAAGATCGAACAGTGACATGTAGATTTGTAGATATCTTTATTGATAAGCATCTTGTATTCGCAATCCTAAATATCAAGGACTAAATTTTAATGAATCTTTTAACGGAATAATCAAATCCATAGAAATGGAGGGAGCAGGGCATGACTATCAATCAATAACCTTTACTTTCAGTTTCTAATTGCTTCGTTAACTTAATTGATAAAATCATGTTTTGACAGTGAATGGAGTATGGAGTGAATGGTCAAAGTTTAGCGCTTGTCCAGTGACTTGCGGAGGCGGTACCAACACCCGGACCAGAGCATGTGACAATCCTGCTCCTGCTCACGGAGGAAACGGTTGTGATGGTATAACCAGCGATAGTGGAGTATGTAATACTCTAGCCTGTCCAAGTATGTATTATAAATGCCTTTATTAAGGATACCAATAGTATATTTTAATAGGAATATGTTGTAGTATCATAAAATTTTATTTTCCTCAATCAAGCAATTTACTCTGAGATTGAAATTATGTAGGGTCATTTTGATTTTTTCCGTTTTAACGTTGTTTTAAAGTTTCAAAAAACCTTGACGATTAATATTCATTTGCACATTAATAATGATGTGTATAATACATTTGAATGATCTTGGCCGTTTTCAACAATGATCTCTGATTGCAGATTATTGCGGGACTGGTCCCTGTCAAAATGGAGCAACTTGTGCGAATATTCACTATGGTTACCAATGCTCCTGTTTAATAGGATTCGAAGGCACTAATTGTGAAACAAGTAAGTTTAGATTGTCTTAAATAACTTTCTTCGGTGCGAAAGAGAGCGAAAGTTTTGAAAGTCAAATATATAAAATGATTGTGAGTCAAAAGATGCACAAAAAAGCAAAAAACAACTTTATCTTAAAGAGAGTTGAATTAAATAATTTTCTTGAAGGCAAACTTACTATAAAACTGTATCATTTAACCCATTTTACCATTAACACTAATTGTATTAACTAGAAGGTTTGACGTAAAATGAATAACAAAAATCGAATGTATATGTTGCATGGTTTGCCAGTCTCTTTAAAAGGATAACTCATGTTTTAATCTGCATAATATCTAAAGATATCTATATTCTAAATGCAAAACACGAAATTATGCATTTCATTCGGTTTGTTTCTTTCTCTTATGGTTGTAGCCTGTTATCTATTTTCCACACGACGAGATATTTCTCCTGTCATCCTGAACGTAGTGTCAGATGAAAAATTAACACGAAAGATACTTGAATTTAGAAGGCCTTTTTTGCAATATGTTTGTGTGAAATTCGACATTTCCATCGTCTATTCGTTAGGTCAACGATTGAACAACGGACCCTTGACAATGGAGATTTGTGATTTTTACGATGATATACCAAAAACTTTTGGGTCAAACTGGATTCCATTCTGAAGCTCAGAAAAAGCTTGAAAACGTATACGTAGTATGTAACAGGAGTCTGGATTCCAGAAGCACTTTCTTCTATACCGTAGGCGGAATATAATGAAATGAAGCCTGCGAAATCGGAAATATTTCACCAGAAGTTTCGTTTTAGGCTTGTTTATTATCTTATTAAATTAAATAACCCGAGTTGATATCAAGCGATATCCATTTTGTACTCTTTAAAAAGCTTGTCATTAAAATTAATATGCTTTAATAAAATGATGTCATATCGGACTGAAGAGATCTTAATCGAAATGTTAAATGCTAAAAGAAAGAAAATGTATTACTGATATGAAGCTGGATGTATTCATTAAAGCAAGAAAAATCATCTAGTAAGAATTACATATAAAACAGACTGAGAAACCGATCTGATTATCATTTTAGATATAGATGATTGTGTCTCTGTGGATTGTCGACACGGCGGAAAGTGTATAGATGAGGTGAATGCTTACAGTTGTGAATGTATTCCCGGATACTCTGGCCTTCATTGTGAACAAGGTATTATATATATATATATATTGACATGCAAAATATATCTTAAAAATTTACAATGGACTGTAATAGCAAGCGGAACTAATAATAATATTAAAATCAGACAATCAAGTTCTCCGCCTTTTTCCCTTTGTGTCAATTCTATTTTCAGGTAGATGACAATGTATCACGATAGTTTGTATGTTTTTAAAGAAAGTGAAGGCATGCGTAAATTATACGTGACATATTTTATAGCAGATCCTGCTACGTGAACGGTTTTTTATTTCGTCGTTCGGAATTATATTTTTTATTTGAAAACTTCATGGCGGCGCAAGTCACCAGGAACGTTTGGAATATAAGGAGGTACGTACTGTAAACTTTAAAATCTAATCATCAACATCCTCCTTATCACATCTTGAAAAAACTTACATTTACATGTCGAACTTGACACTTTAGCCTTAAAAGTGTCATTGTACCAATATCAAGCGTAGTGCTGTTTTTAAAAGAAAACATCTTTGATTAATTTTATGCATCCGAGGCGCTTTTCTGGATATTCCTTCATTAAGAACGCTCAAATCCAAACATTTGAAAAACAAGGATGTATAAAACAAAAATACTTGAAAAGCTCAGAGATCAAATGTGCCTAAGAAGTAGCTAAATTCATCTATGGCAAACCTTGCCTGATAATATTAAGATTTTTAATGTATCAACGGAGGAGTTTCGAAAAATAAGATTATGATCCACAGCGAAAAGTAAAATCACAAAAATCCTGAACTTCGAGGAAAATTCAAAACGGAAAGTCCCTAATCAAATGGCAAAATCAAATGATAAAAAACACATCAAACGAATGGACAACAACTGTCATATTCCTGACTTGGTACAAGCCATTACTCATATTTTCAAACAAAAATATTTTTATTTCCTTCTAGCAATGCATACCTTAGTGGATTAAACTGTTTTGTTTACGCTCTTTTTGTTTTAATGCTTTTTTTACAGAAAAAAAACAATGACACTGTTAGAAAAAACAAATTTTCATATAAAAATTCAATCTGATTGAAATACAGATCATGTATCCACACTTCGCTTGCAAGGATCTGACAACGCTCCGTTCTACTTTCTGTTTTAAAGACCTTTCGGGATCTTCTGGTTTATTCTTAAAAAAAACACATCTTCAAATATTTGCTGCTTGAAATATCAATGGCTGGTGTAATGATTGTCACAACAGAACGGGGCAAAGCATGGACACACGATATATTTTAATCAGATTGATAAAACAAGGAAATATAAAAAAAAATAATGCCAATTAAAAAAACATTTGAATATATTCGATATTTTCGAGTTTTACTGATAAGCACTTTGGTAGCATCCAGATAGCTTCATTTTACCTAAAAGCATACGACACAGGAAAAAAATTTCTCAGATTTTCAATACCTGGAACCCTTACTAAAAGATGGCTGGATCTATTTTCCAGTGATGACCTTATAAATCGCAAATATTCAATAGCATTAACTCCCAATTCTAAAATATGGTTGATGTATTTTTTTTTAATTATCTCCTAACTATGGTAATTAAGAAACATGTAGTCAACGGTGGTTTTCACGAATCTTCGATGTGTTAATTCATTTGTCTTGACATTTGTGAAAATGACAAAGTTATAATTATCAGATACCACCACCCTAACGTTTCTCCAATTAGAATGTATAGCAACTTTGAGTGAGACCTTTTCATACATTTTGGTTTACCGCGAGAGTTATGAAATATTTTTTTATTGATAAATATAATAGATAAGTTACATGTACACAAGAACTTATATATATTTTGCGTGTTAGATTTAATAAGTATGTAAGATTTTGTCTTCTCTTACAATTTCTCGTTCAATTATGCCTGTTTACCTTTTTTTTTAAATACACTGCAAATTGCAATAGAATGCCTTAGCAAATATTAACAACTAATTATAAAAAAAAGTTGAGTACAGATATGTCAAGAAGATTAACTTTTGTCTTATTTTTTTAAAGAAAAAACAAAGTCAACATTAATTATTTGTATGCCATAAGTTAAATTAGTCGTAATTATCAGTAAGTTGGACATTGTCATCATTATTTTAATGTGGACAATTTTGAATTTAAAAAAAAAGTCAAAAAATAATCTTCTTGACACATCTGTAATCACTTTATTTAATAAACTAGTCTTTAAAAAAGTTAATGCAATGTATTTTACCACAACCATATTGATAAGATCATGTACTTTCGAGTCATAGATTTGATCTAAGAAAAAAAGTCAAAAGAAGATTTTACAACTCGTGTAAGAAAAACATTTTAAAAACATCAACAAAACAGGAGAAAAGTTATAATTTAAAGAATATCGTGAAAAATAAATACATATGTATAGAAAGATCGTGCTTCGTATAAAATGCTATATATGGAAATGATTGAATGTTAAAAATAAAGATAAAAAAATACATGTTTTCAATTTAGAAAATGCATTTCATACAATTCAGCCTCATACTATCATAAAAGATAATAAAATGTTACAGACCAAAAAAAAACAAAAAAACCAAATGAACACAAAAAGGAAAAAAAAAAAACACGAACAAAAACAATAACAATAACAAAACAAATGAACAAATAATCGGTGCAATTTTTAAGATAAGTATATTTTGTTAGTGTAATTTGATAATACGCTCATCGATTTTCTCAATTGTGTAATTTCCTGTATAATTGTTCAACTAATTCTTTTTTTTTGATGAGTAAAAAAAACAATGGTTAAGTAGCATATGCAAAATTACTTATAAATTGTGCGTGTTAAAATTTAATAAATATGAAAGATCTAATCTTCTTTAAGATCTTTAAGATTTTACGTTAAATCATACCTGCTTACCCTTTTGAATACCTAAACAAATTACAATAAAATGCCAATGCAACTTTGGCTTTTCATTTGTTATTATGAATCAAATAAGCTGCAATTAACATTGCTGTTAATTATTCAACAATGTTTTTAAATATGCTACTATTGTTCGGTAAACATATGTTCTAGATCGAAAGATAATCCTCTTGACACGTATGTACTAATTTTTTAAAATTTAAACAAGTTGATAAAGAGGAATGTATTAAATACTAAGTATGAATATGTTGAACTTTTCCAGTACATTCGATACATAAACTATAAGAGTATAGTAGTTTTACACCTTTGTGTTTGTATTTTGTTTTTATAAACAATAATGAAATGGAAGAAAACGATTATTTCAAGATTATTGGAAAAAAGTAAATAAAATGAGCATGACTCATTTGAAGTATAAATTTTAAAAATTAATGAATGAATAAAAAATAATGATAAATGATTGAATGAAGAAAAACACTCTTTCAATTAAGTATACATATGTATTTATATATCAACGTTTTGTTGATTTAATGAAACATCAATGTTAAAACTTATGTTTAAAAAATATATACCGTAAGACTCATTCCCAAATAGACTGCTGAAAACTACATCGAAATGCATTTAAAACACATTTTGTTGATTTAGGCTTTTGGCTAAAACTTAGTCGTTAATGATTAAATTTTGATAAAATGTCTTCGCTACTAGTTTTCTCTCTCTTTTACTGAAGCAGGTTGTTGCTGAAAGTAAGAAATTTTAACAAAGTTGTAGCCCGAGGTAGGATATTTTGATAAATATCGTACCATGCACCAACAAGAAAAAAGAATATAAATAGTCATTTTCGGTAAGTATTCACTCCCTCAAAATTAGTTAGAGTAATAAAATGAAGATTATTTACATGAAATCAGACAAAAAAGGGAAAACAGTTTTCAATGTATGATATATTTAACCTAATACATTTCAGTAGTAATCAAAGCAATGTATAGGACTTTCATTAAATCTTGTAGATTTCCATTATTAACGGATAATATGCTTTTACTGCAAATTTAAATAGATTTAAACAAATCTCATATTTTTAAAAATCGTTCAAGTCATACTGATAAAATATAAGATATAATAACTCTACAGCTGTTATTAGAACAAAGACGATGAAAAGACAGCCTCGAAAAATGGACTGGTGGACAAAATAGAGAAGAATCTTACTGAAACAAGAGAAGAGGAGAACAACAAGTTATAACTTTTTATGTACATATTCATATTACAGTGTAAATTAGTTGCTACAATGTGACGAGAATACGCACTCACACCATACGAAAGTATATAAATACAGTTCTTGTATATATATGACTTTCTTTAAACGCTTTGAGTAAACCCCATGGTAAAATAAGAATATATTGTTTGGCGTGTGATCGACAACATCATGACTTGTTAGGGCTGTTCACTCCCACATCGTATGCAGTAATAAATTAACACGAAAACATAAACAAACATTGAAACGAATTTGGTTAAAGCCCATTATCTCATCTATAAATTTTTATTAAAAAGTAATTATACCCTCGAAAACGATATAGGTCTAAATATGACGTCATTAAACACTGTATCGATGCCTACTGTGACGTGATAGCATGAATATTATGACATTGGAAATGAACCGTATAAAGGCATTTATCGGTCGTCCCACTATCTGTATCACTCTGCTCATCTCTTAATAAAATTGCATATCACGGCTTTGTGATTTCAAAGACGTTGACCCGGCCTTAATAACTTTGACCCGGACATATCACTGACATCATATTATATGAACCGACGTTGATAAGATTGTTCCGGACTTATCACGTCATCTTCCTGTTTTCTGGTGAAACAAAGGAAATACTCGTTTCTATCATGCAAAATACGCAAATACAACCCGATAAATCGATTATCTTGTTGTCTGCATATTTATATTGTAAAATATCAGCTGCTCGACACATTATGAAGCCTTTTTGATCTCGTTTGCTGCGCTCACTCGACAAAAAGCTTCATGTTGTGACTCGCTGCTGATATTTTACGATATCAATATGCAGACAACCTGATAATCGGTACGAATTTGGAAGATGGCTCAGCATCATTTTTAAATGTGATAACAGAATATAACAAAAATCATTTCCATCTTTTCCGAACGAAACACACACAATAATAACATCATCATAATTTTAAAAATTCATCCTTACTATCTACAACTGTAAATCGTTTAAGCATTTTTCTACGCCTTAACGTTAATATGACAAATGTATTCAATTACGGGAACAGTAAATATTTCCCTTGACCTAGAGCGCTTCGATCGGAAATAATCACCTACATTATACTATTAGAATAGACATAATTCAGAGGGGGTTGCATTTCTATTGATTAAACAACGGGTTGGCCTTTTATGATAATCTTTTACCCTTTACCATCGCGCGTGGTAAAATATTTGATAAAATTCAAATAAATTCAAGCCCCTATTAATAATTTTATTATTTGTTTCATTTACACATTTCATAAGTATTCGCTTTTAAACAGTAACGTGTCATTAAAGTCAACATGAGATTTTGAAGTTTGATTCCCTATTCATGGATTAAATATTGGTGGACTGATATTTGTCTTATTGTCACTATTCAGTCATAGTGTTGTCGGTTTTCTTCCTATAGGTTTTGGTTAACTTCTTAATATTCATTTTCTCGTTTTTGGATTGAATTATATATTAAACGAAAAAAACCCACTTCATATAAAAATAAAGAGATGTTGTATGATTGCAAATGAGACAACCATCCACCAAAATTCAAATGGAGTAGATGTAAGCAATTATAACCAACCGTACAACAATGAGAAAAACCCAAACCTTATACGCGGCTATCAAAGGCCCCGACATGAACAAGATGAAACAATTTAATTGAGAAAAGAGGGACGAAAGATACAAGAGGGACAGTCAAACTCATAGATCGAAAACAAACTGACAACGCCATGGCCAAAAATAAAAAGACTTATAAAAAATAACGACCTCTGTTCATTTGAGTAGACGAACAATAACATGACTCAATTGACTTCAATCAGAACAGTGCTTATTTGACTGCTGTGTTAAATTCCGAAAATGGACTAAAAGATAATGACTTAATGATTTATTGTTCAGTCTTTTTTACAAGAGCTGTTCAGATCAAAATGACCGTTCCAGAATCAAAATTGTTGTACTTGTGGCAGATGAAGGAGTCAAGAGATAGTTTGAACCCATATTTGCATCGACAATAGCAGTTATTGGAAATATAAGATATTGAATCTATGAATCTTGAATCGAGGCTTTATCTGATTAAATATTAACCTCATGCAAAAAGAAGTAATTACATTATTTGATCTATGTATTTGCTGATATTGATGAATGTGTCTCATCTCCATGCCAACATGAAAGTACATGTACTGATAGAGTAAACGCATACACCTGCATATTTTCTGCCTGATTCAAAGACAATAAGTATCAAAAAAGTAGGCCAAAACGGGAACATTTAAGGTTCCTAAAGGTTTCTTCATCCTCATTTAAAACAAAATGAAGGAATACTTGAAAATGTTCGGTTTAGATGGTATTTGAAAATGTTTACATGGCAAATTGAGTCATATAGAGTTTCTATAACAAAAGACTCAATTTTGCTGCAAATAATTATGTGTATTTTATATGAACGAAGCGTGCAAACACAAGATGAAGCTTTCCGTGTCAAGATGTCTGTCTGTAAAAAAATATACATTTGATGTCATTTGAAAAATGAACTGATAAGGAACATGATTGTCTGACTAGGTATACATTAATTGAATATTTTTGAAGGGTACCAATTGTAACACACAATTTTCAACGGTCTGAAAACAAATATTATCTTGTAAACACACATCATATTGTTGTTTACAGATATCAATGAATGTGCGTCCGGACCTTGTGATAATGAGGGTAGCTGTACTGATAAAGTGAATGGATACACGTGCACATGTGCTCCAGGGTATAATGGAGTTCACTGTGAAATAAGTAAATCTTTGTTATTCAGCAGGATTTATCAGCTAAGTCAAAAATGAAATTTCAGTCTTTATTTTTAAATTTCATTCAGAAAGTTTCACTTAAGGAAGTTTAAGAATGGTAACTGACAATGTTAGGTTCAAAAGGATTTTCTATCCCAGGAATATATTGCTATAGCTGTATTTTGCAAAACATTTAGGATTTTTGGGTTCTCAATGCTCTTCAACTTTGTATTTTATTTGGCCTTGTTAACTTTTTTGATTCGAGCTTTTTTGTTGATTGCATCTTCCTATTTAACATCTTTTGTTTTGTATAATTTAACTGATATCAATGAATGTGCATCTGGACCATGTGAACACGGAGGTAGCTGTACAGATAATGTGAATGGATACACATGTTCATGTGTTCCCGGATTTGACGGAGTTCATTGTGAAATAAGTAAGTCTTTGTCATTCAGCGGGATTTATCAGATCAAGTCAAAAATTAAATGTTGAAAGACTCATTTTCAAAATTTAATTCAGTCCTTATTTTTATAATTCATTCAGTAAGTTTAACTTATTGAAGTTAAAGATGGTAACAAACAATGTGAGGTTCAAAAGGATTTGGTGACCAAATACTAAGGATTTTCTATCCCAGGAATAGATTACTTTAGCTGTATTTGGCAGAAACGTTTAGAATTTTGGGTCCTCAATTCTCTTCAACTTTTTTAATTCGAGCGTCACTGATCAGTCTTTTGTAGCCGAAACGCGCGTCTGGCGTACACAAGTTTTATGCTAGTATCTATGATGAGCTTTTTTGTTGATTTCATCTTCCGATTATACGTCTTTTGTTTTGTATAATTTAACAGATATCAATGAATGTGCATCTGGACCATGTGAACACGGAGGTAGCTGTACAGATAATGTGAATGGATACACATGTTCATGTGTTCCTGGATATGACGGAGTTCATTGTGAAAGAAGTAAGAAGAAAGTTTTCTATTAGTGTCGTCTTATTTTATTATTAGTAATGAATTGTGATATTCTTCTATATGGTCTGAGTACATCACAGATTTGCTTTTAGTTAATAGAAGTTCGATTAAGGTTAAAAATATGAAATATGTTGATTCATTGATTGCAGATGTACAGGGCAGAACCTCTTGATGCAAAGCATTGCATATGAAACAACTAAAATTTCTTTTTCAATAACATTCAGATATAGACGAATGTGCTCCAAAGCCATGTCAAAATGGAGGTACATGTACTGATGGAGTAAACGCATACACCTGCACATGTGCTGATGGATACACAGACATAAACTGTCAAACAAGTAAGACAAAACGGGAACATTTTACATTCCAACAGGGTTCATCACCCGTATTTAAAACAAAATGAAGTAATATTTGAAAATATTTGTTTTCCATAACAAATTGAGAAATAGTGAGTTTCTATGACAAAAGACTCAATATTGCTGCTGATAATAATGGGTACTTTATATGGCGGAAGCGTACAAACTCAACATGAGACTTCCTCTGTCGAAATGTCAGTCAGAAAATAGCTTTTACTTGCTATGGAAATTTGATGTCATTTTGAATATGTACACATAAGGAACTTGATTGTCTGACTACGTATAAGTTTTTGAAGGGTACCAATTGGAACACCTTAACTATATTCAATGGTCTGTAAACACACAGTATCTTGTTGTTTACAGATATTGATGAATGTGCGTCCGGACCCTGTGATAATGAGGGTAGCTGTACTGATAAGGTGAATGGATACACCTGCACATGTGCTCCAGGTTATAATGGAGTTCACTGTGAAATAAGTAAGTCTTTTTCATTCAGCGGGAATTATCAGCTCAAGTGAAAAATGAAATGTTGAAAGACTGATTTTCAAAATCTATTTCAGTCTTTATATCTGTATTTAATTCAGAAAGTTTAACTTAGAGAAGTTAAAGAATGGTTACAGACAATGTAAGGTTCAAAAAGGATTTGGTGACTTAATACTAAGGATTTTCTATCCAAGGAATAGATTGCTTTAGCTGTATTTGGCAAAACGTTTAGGATTTTTGGGTCCTAAATGCTCTACAACTTTGTACTTTATTTGGCCTTTTTAACTTTTTAGATTCGAGCGTCACTGATGAGTCTTTTGTAGCCGAAACGTGCGTCTGGCGTACACAATTTCAATCATAGTATCTTCGATGAGCTTTTTTGTTGATTGCATCTTCCCATTAAACATCTTTTGTTTTGTATAATTTAACAGATATCAATGAATGTGCATCTGGACCATGTGAACACGGAGGTAGCTGCACAGATAATGTGAATGGATACACATGTGCATGTGTTCCTGGATATGACGGAGTTCATTGTGAAATAAGTAAGTCTTTGTCATTCATCGAGATTTATCAGCTCAAGTGAAAAATGAAATGTTGAAAGACTGATTTTCAAAATCTAATTCAGTCCTTATTTTTATATTTAATTCAGAAAGTTTAACTGAAGGAAGTTAAAAAATGGTGACAAACAATGTAAGGTTCAAAAAGGATTTTCTATCCCAGGAATAAATTACTTTAGCTGTATTTGGCAAAATGTTTAGGATTTTTGGGTCCTAAATGCTCTACAACTTTGTACTTTATTTGGCCTTTTTAACTTTTTTGATTTGAGCGTCACAGATAAAGCCTCCAATAATATTGTCTTCATATGTAAAAACCATTATTTGCAATGTCTCACAACTGAGCTTGGAATAAATAGAACTACTGGTAACCCTACATATTCTTTAACATCATTTACCAAGGACGAAACTTTACAAAATCACAAATCTGTCCTTCATTCTTTTTGTATCAACATCAAAGAAAACGAAGAAAATTTACCATCATTATACTGAATACCAAAACTACACAAAACTCCATCTAAAGAACGATACATAGCTGGGTCATCAAAATGTTCGACTAAACATCTTTCTTAAGTACTGACTACTATTCTTTCTACAGTTAAAGATGGGCTTCAAAAATATTGTGATGAGATATATTCTACCAGTGGTGTTAACCAGATGTGGATTCTCAAAAATTCGAAAGATCTACTGCGTAATCTTCGATCACAATCTTTGCAATTTTGCAGCAACATAAAGACTTTTGATTTTTCTATGCTTTACACCACTATTCCCAATGCTCAGTTGAAAGATCGACTTCACCATCTCATTAAACAGAGCTTTTTCTATAAAAATGGGAATCGTAGATACAAATTTCTTGTTTTGGGTTACAATAATTCATATTTTGTGAAAAACCACACTGAATCTACCAGAAATAATACTGAAGATGATATTATCAAAATGCTGGACTTTTTGATCGACAATGTATTTGTTGAGTTTGGAGGATTTATATTTCAACAGACAGTCGGTATTCCAATGGGAACTAATTGTGCACCCGTACTGGCCGATTTGTTTTTGTACTCGTATGAAGCAGAATTCATTCAGAACCTTCTAAAAGACAAAAAGAAAAAGCACCTTGCGAAATTCTTTAATTTTACTTTCCGATATATTGATGATGTTCTATCATTGAATAACCCATATTACAGCCAATACTTACATCTCATATATCCCAGTGAACTTGAGAATAAGGATACTACTGATACTAGAAGGACTGCTTCATACCTTGATCTTTTCCTCAATATTGACACAGATGGACGACTTCACACGAAAATCTATGATAAACGGGACGATTTCAACTTCCCAATTATCAATTTCCCATTTCTTAGCAGTAACATACCCTCTGCCCCTTCGTATGGTGTTTAAATATCTCAATTAATACGTTATTCTCGTGCTTGTTTACACTATACGGACTTCATATACAGGAGTGTGCTCCTTACACAGAAACTGCTCTAACAAAGTTATGAGGAGGACAGATTAAAAATGACACTCCGTAAATTTTACGGACACCATCACGAATTGGATAGTCCATACGATGTGTCTTTGTCCAAACTAACTAATGACATTTTTACCACGTGTTAGATTGTGGTTTGTCATTACGTCGTCTGATATCTTAATTACCGAACGTGACTTATTCCCGATTGTGACTGTTTTGCTGAGTGTGAAACCGCATTGCTATAAGACGTGTCACGGTACCTTTCTATTCCAAATTCTAGTATTTAATTTTGATGTTATATTTGTTATTCTCGTCGGATTTTGTCAAATGTCTTGACGTCTTTTCTGTTATATTCGTGTGTTATGGTAAAGATTATTAATAACCCCCTTTATTTATTAGATTTTAGTTTGGTTCAACGAAATTTATACGATATATTTGGTTTACAGTTTGATTCAGAAGAAACACCGACATAGCTAGATAATACAATTAATTATCTTATTACTACCACAATTTAATATTAATAAGTATTGTAATTTTCATTGTTATTAATAAATGTAATGTCAGTATTACAAATCTAATCTTGAATCGATCCTAATCCTATCTTATTTTTGGGAAATATATTTACAAATTCAAATGTGACGTCACTTTGTGTGTTTTTTCAGAATTTCAAATGTGACGTCACTTTGTGCGTTGATGCTTTGGCTAACTCGGCTGTGTATTTTTATATGTTGGATTAAGTGGTTTATGTAATGTATCCGTTTTTATTCTGTAGGTAGTCCCCACTTCGGTTTTATCATGTATATCTATTATATTGTAGCGTTGTCGTTTTTTTTATGGATTCTTGTTTGTCGATGTGTTATTTTGAGGTAGCGTAAATTACGTAAAATCCATGTTCAAATGGCACAAAGAAAACAAACCACAACACAAAGTCTCAATTCAAATCACAATGTAATCTGTTACATGTATAATATCAGTTTAACATAATAAAACAGCTTAACAATAATCCTGATTTCACTATAACAATATCACTGTCCTCTCGTTCTCTAACTATCCTCTCAACTCTTCTAACTAGCTATCTATCTCTTCTTTTTTCTGATCTCTCTCGCTTCCCCTTATATACATAATTACAGGCGGTACCCCGACGGTTCCAAAGATGGGGTACCGGGCGGTTCTAAAGATACCGGGCGGTGAATTTAAATAAGTATAGCCACCGTTCAGATAAATAAAATAGCGGGCGGTGCCCTATTGAAATGTAATTTAACTCAAATTTATTAAAAGAAAGACATTTTGAATAATAACAAATTAAACTGTCAAACTAAAATCGCTACAATCCCCCCAACTAGCAATTGAAATTCCTATTTCAATGTAGTAAACAAAACTAGGTTAACCACTGTACAGTTACATAATCCTAAACACGATCAATATAGCTCAACTCAAGTCAATTTTATAGGTTCACTGCAACATGCATAATAAAGTTATAACAGCAGATCCTAACACTTTCAAATCACCACCACTAGCTGTGACGAACCTGGTATCCACTGGTCTTAGCATATGTTTACTATCAGGCAAAATATTTCTGTAGCATTTTTCTGTTATGAAAGTACATCTTGCACCGGTATCGATCTTCCAAGTAATTACTGATCCTTCTATTTGACCATCTACCATCATACCGACTTTTCCAGATATTTTCGTTAACACAGCTACGTTATTTTGTCCAATATCATCTGACAATAATTCATTATCTATGTGTTCCTCTCGCAGATAAACAAACGCACCATCACTCAACTGCTTAGGTGTTATGTGATACTCCGAAGTTAAATCTTGGTCTATTATGTGATCCAAGTCAAGCTCCATATCACTCCCCTCAGTTTGAGTGGAACGTGTCGTCCTCCGTTTACCCAAGGTACACTCCTTTAAACTTCTGCTAGGCCACCAGGTACCGTCGGTCGGAGCAGGGCCTATTGCTCCGACCGGTTGTTGTTTAACTGCTGGACGGTACCACCACTATTCTGGGCGGTGTATTCATCTGGTACCGTCTGATTTGGCATGTTCTGATTGGTTGCATGTGTCTTACACCAACAGTACTCTCTTGTGTGTCCTCTTTTTCCACAATTCGTACACTGTCTATATCTTTTGTTTTGATATCTTCGGTTGTTCATAGGACTTTCTGAATAATTGTTCTTCTTTGAAATCGGTTCATGAACATCACTTTCTTTTTCCACTGTATATACATTATTTCGCCTGTTAACCTTATTCACATTTCCTTCATTAATTCGTATACATTCTTCTTGCATGGCACTTGAGACAGCTTCCTGAAGTGTCCTAGGCTTAGTTCGCCGTATGAACATGCGGAACTCCTCTGACTCGCCGCAAGCGTCAAGAAACGATCTGATACTATTTTCCTGGACAAGTTCTGGATGAGATGGGTATGCGCGCCTGTACAAATCTTCAATAGATTGACCCAAATCTCTAAACGATTCACCAGGTTTCCTTCTTCTTAGTTTTGCCTCTGCAAGGTAGCTTTCTTTCATGTTTGAATGTCCAAACCGTAACTCCATCTTATTTATTAAACTCTCCTATCTCATTTGGATATCTGAAGACAATCCGTGTACGTATGTTTCTGCCTGTCCTCGTAAGGTAGTAAAGAACACTAACCTTTTTCTTTCTTCATTCCACGCATTTAGTGTCGCAATGTTTTCAAAGTATCGTAAAAAGTCTGCTAGCACATCATCGTTACTGCCACTAAATGTTCTCTTCACCTGAACTTCGGATCGGTTAACTTGCAAAGGTGATGATGAGTTCACCGGTACAGTCTTTGCATTGTCTCTAATATGTGGAATGTTCTGGTCGAAGTTTAATTTCTGACATACGGTATCGGTTGGCCTTCTTCTGTCTTCATTTTGGTTGTCAAAGTGTTTTAAACGTCTTGAGGTTTCATCTATGAATAACTTCACAATTACTGAAACTAGAAATGTTATCAGTATAGTAACTACAAATAGTATAACATTTTGCTTCAGCCAACAAACAATGTCATGAAAAGGAAATGTTACAGAAAACCATCCGATCACAAGTATCAAACTTAAGATAAACCAAATCCATCTAAGAACGAATTTCTTCCATTTATGATCAGTTCCGGCTGTATTAGCATTTTGTTGTCTCTGGTTCATATCAGACATCGGTGTGCTCGAAATAAAAGATTCATCCTTCCAATTATTGCTACTGCCGAAACCACCCCACATGTTAGTTGTCGGCACCGTCGGCAATGGGGTTCCAGGGACCGTCCGGTGTGCGGTTCTGGAATCTCCCGGTGTCCTTGGAATGGAATCGGGTACCCCTTGGAATTCTTGAGATGGTGAAAATAATCCTGGTGAATACGGACTTCTGTTCCTAAAGTTTTGTTCTCCAGAAACAGTCTGCTCTTCTCCAACGTTCGTAAAATCCATTGGATAAATATTATAGTCAGTTCTATTTCGATCCATCTCCACTAATTATAAAACACAACTTGTACTGAAAATTCTAACATGTATCCAAATAGTTTAAATCTCACTGATATTCCAACAATTATCCTCATTACGAATATATAAAACTTTGTGTATGGCGATCCCACCGCTGCCACCATTTGTAGCGTTGTCGTTTTTTTTATGGATTCTTGTTTGTCGATGTGTTATTTTGAGGTAGCGTAAATTACGTAAAATCCATGTTCAAATGGCACAAAGAAAACAAATCACAACACAAAGTCTCAATTCAAATCACAATGTAATCTGTTACATGTATAATATCAGTTTAACATAATAAAACAGCTTAACAATAATCCTGATTTCACTAACACAATATCACTGTCCTCTCGTTCTCTAACTATCCTCTCAACTCTTCTAACTAGCTATCTATCTCTTCTTTTTTCTGATCTCTCTCGCTTCCCCTTATATACATAATTACAGGCGGTACCCCGACGGTTCCAAAGATGGGGTACCGGGCGGTTCTAAAGATACCGGGCGGTGAATTTAAATAAGTATAGCCACCGTTCAGATAAATAAAATAGCGGGCGGTGCCCTATTGAAATGTAATTTAACTCAAATTTATTAAAAGAAAGACATTTTGAATAATAACAAATTAAACTGTCAAACTAAAATCGCTACAATATAGTCATTTTATAAAATTTACTGTTTGCAAAATTATAAATTATTCTAAATAATAAGGATGTTCTTGTCGCAGGCAGAAAACCCTGGCCGTGTTAGGCGCATTATTTTGGAAGTTTTGGTCCTCGGTGCTCTTTGGCTTTGTACTTGTTTTGGCTTTCAAGCTTTTTTCATCTGAGCGTCACTGGATGGTCTTGTGTGGACAAGACGCACGTCTGGCGTATTGAATTTTAAGCCTAGTACCTTTTGTTAGCTATTATTCGTGTGTTTCTTTGTCCTATATGTTCTCCCATTTATTTGTATTGTGGTCCTGTCATGTGATGTTGTCGTTTTGGTGTTGTGTTTGACGTTGCCATTAAAGCTGGAGGTTTGGCATGCCACAAAACCAGGTTCAACCCACCATTTTTTTCTTAAAATTGTCTGTACTAAGTCAGGAAAATGGCCATTGTTATATTATAGATCGTTTCTGTGTGTGTTACATTTTAATGTTGTGTTTTTGTTGAGTCGTTGTTCTCCTCTTATATTTGATGCGTTTCCCTCAGTTTTAGTTTGTAACCCGGATTTGTTTTTATCTCTATCGATTTATGAGTTTCGAACAGCGGTATACTACAGTTGCCTTTATTTGTAGCAGAAACGTGCGTCTGGCGTACACAATTTCAATCCTAGTATCTATGATGAGCTTTTTTGTTGATTGCATCTTCCGATTATACATCTTTTGTTTTGTATAATTTAACAGATATCAATGAATGTGCATCTGGACCATGTGAACACGGAGGTAGTTGTACAGATAATGTGAATGGATACACATGTGCATGTCTTCCCGGATATGACGGAGTTCATTGTGAAATAAGTAAGAAGAAAGTTTTCTATTAGCGTCATCTTATTTTATTATTTGTAATGAAATGTGATATTCTTCTATATGGTTTGAGTACATCACAGATTTGCCTTTAGTTCATAGAAATTCGGTAAGGGTTCAAAAATATGAAATAAGTTGATTCATTGATTGCAGATGTACAGGACAGAACCTCTTGATGCAAAGCATTGCATATGAAACAACTAACATTTCTTTTTCCATAACATTCAGATATAGAATGGAGGTACATGTACTGATGGAATAAACGCATACACCTGCACATGTCCTGATGGATACACAGACATAAACTGTCAAACAAGTAAGACAAAACGGGAACATTTTAGATTCCAACCGGGTTCTTCATCCCCATTTAAAACAAAATGAAGCAATATTTGAAAATATTTGTGTAACATAACAGATTGAGTAATAGTGAGTTTCTATGACAAAATACTCATTATTGCTGCTGATAATAATGTGTATTTTATATGGTGGAAGCGTACAAGCTCAACGTGAGGCTTCCTCTGTCGAAATGTAAGTCAGAAAATATGTTTTAGTTGCTTTGGAATTTTGATGTCATTTTGATAATGTACACATAAGGAACTTGATTGTCTGACTACGTATAAGTTTTTGAAGGGTACCAATTGGAACACCTTTACTATATGCAATGCTCTGTAAAGACACATCATCTTGTTCTTTACAGATATTGATGAATGTGCGTCCGCACCCTGTGATAATGAGGGTAGCTGTACTGATAAAGTGAATGGATACACCTGCACATGTGCTCCAGGGTATAATGGAGTTCACTGCGAAATAAGTAAGTCTTTTTCATTCAGCGGGAAATATCAGCTCAAGTGAAAAATGAAATGTTGAAAGACTGATTTTCAAAATCTAATTCAGTCTATATTTCTATATTTCATTCAGAAAGTTTAACTTAGGGGAGGTTAAAGAATGGTTACAGACAATTAAAGATTCAAAAAGGATTTAGTGACCAAATACTTAGGATTTTCTATCCCAGGAATAGATTACTTTAGCTGTACTTGGCAAAACGTTTAGGATTTTTGGGTCCTAAATGCTCTACAACTTTGTACTTTATTTGGCCTTTTTTAATTTTTTTGATTCGAGCGTCACTGATGAGTCTTTTGTAGTCGAAACGTGCGTCTGGCGTACACAATTTCAATCCTAGTATCTATGATGAGCTTTTTTGTTGATTGCATCTTCCCATTAAACATCTTTTGTTTTGTATAATTTAACAGATATCAATGAATGTGCATCTGGACCATGTGAAAACGGAGGTAGCTGTACAGATAATGTGAATGGATACACATGTTCATGTGTTCCCGGATATGACGGAGTTCATTGTGAGATAAGTAAGAAGAAAGTTTTCAATTAGTGTCATCTTATTTTATCATTTGTAATGAAATGTGATATTCTTCTATATGGTCTGAGTACATCACAGATTTGCCTTTAGTTCATAGAAATTCGGTTAAGGTTCAAAAATATGAAATAAGTTGATTCATTGATTGCAGATGTACAAGACAGAACCTCTTGATGCATTGCATATAAAACAACTAACATTTCTTTTTCAATAACATTCAGATATAGACGAATGTGCTCCAAAGCCATGTCAGAATGGAGGTGCATGTACTGATGGAATAAACGCATACACCTGCACATGTGCTGATGGATACACAGACAATAACTGTCAAACAAGTAAGACAAAACGGGAACATTTCAGATTCCAACAGGGTTCTTCACCCCCATTTAAAACAAAATGAAGCAATATTTGAAAATATTTGTGTTACATAACAAATTGAGTAATAGTGAGTTTCCATGACAAAAGACTCATTATTGCTGCTGATAATAATGTGTACTTTATATTGTGGAAGCGTACAAGCTCAAAGTGAGGCTTCCTCTGTCGAAATGCCAGTCAGAAAATATGTTTTACTTGCTATGAAATTTTGATGTCATTTTGAATATGTACACATAAGGAACTTGATTGTCTGACTACGTATAAGTTTTTGAAGGGTACCAATTGGAACACCTTTACTATATGCAATGCTCTGTAAAGACACATCATCTTGTTCTTTACAGATATTGATGAATGTGCGTCCGCACCCTGTGATAATGAGGGTAGCTGTACTGATAAAGTGAATGGATACACCTGCACATGTGCTCCAGGGTATAATGGAGTTCACTGTGAAATAAGTAAGTCTTTTTCATTCAGCGGGAATTATCAGCTCAAGTGAAAAATGAAATGTTGAAAGACTGATTTTAAAATCTAATTCAGTCTATATTTCTATATTTCATTCAGAAAGATTAACTTAGAGAAGTTAAAGAATGGTTACAGACAATTAAAGATTCAAAAAGGATTTGGTGACCAAATACTAAGGATTTTTGTATCCCAGGAATAGATTACTTTAGCTGTATTTGGCAAAACGTTTAGGATTTGTGGGTCCTAAATGCTCTACAACTTTGTACTTTATTTGGCCTTTTTAATTTTTTTGATTCGAGCGTCACTGATGAGTCTTTTGTAGTCGAAACGTGCGTCTGGCGTACACAATTTCAATCCTAGTATCTATGATGAGCTTTTTTGTTGATTGCATCTTCCAATTAAACATCTTTTGTTTTGTATAATTTAACAGATATCAATGAATGTGCATCAGGACCATGTGAGCACGGAGGTAGCTGTACAGATAATGTGAATGGATACACATGTGCATGTGTTCCTGGATATGACGGAGTTCATTGTGAAATAAGTAAGTCTTTTTCATTCATCGAGATTTATCAGCTCAAGTGAAAAATGAAATGTTGAAATACTGATTTTCAAAATCTAATTCAGTCCTTATTTTTATATTTAATTCGGAAAGTTTAACTTAAGGAAGTTAAAAAATGGTAACAAACAATGTAAGGTTAAAAAAGGATTTGTTGGCCAAATACTTAGGATTTTCTATCCAAGGAATAGATTACTTTAGCTGTATTTGGCAAAACGTTTAGAATTTTGGGGTCCTAAATGCTCTACAACTTTGTACTGTATTTGGCCTTTTTAACTTTTTTGATTCGAGCGTCATTGATGAGTCTTTTGTAGTCGCAACGTGCGTCTGCGTACACAATTTCAATCCTGGCATCGATGATGAGCTTTTTTGTTGATTGCATCTTCCCATTAAACATCTTTTGTTTTGTATAATTTAACAGATATCAATGAATGTGCATCTGGACCATGTGAAAACGGAGGTAGCTGTACAGATAATGTGAATGGATACACATGTTCATGTGTTCCCGGATATGACGGAGTTCATTGTGAAATAAGTAAGGAGAAAGTTTTCTATTAGTGTCATCTTATTTTATCATTTGTAATGAAATGTGATATTCTTCTGTATGGTTTGAGTACATCACAGATTTGCCTTTAGTTCATAGAAATTCGGTTAAGGTTCAAAAATATGAAATAAGTTGATTCATTGATTGCAGATGTACAAGACAGAACCTCTTGATGCATTGCATATAAAACAACTAACATTTCTTTTTCAATAACATTCAGATATAGACGAATGTGCTCCAAAGCCATGTCAGAATGGAGGTACATGTACTGATGGAATAAACGCATACACCTGCACATGTGCTGATGGATACACAGACAATAACTGTCAAACAAGTAAGACAAAACGGGAACATTTCAGATTGCAACAGGGTTCTTCACCCCCATTTAAAACAAAATGAAGCAATGTTTGAAAATATTTGTGTTGCATAACAAATTGAGTAATAGTGAGTTTCCATGACAAAAGACTCATTATTGCTGCTGATAATAATGTGTACTTTATATAGTGGAATCGTACAAGCTCAACGTGAGGCTTCCTCTGTCGAAATGTCAGTCATAAAATATGTTTTACTTGCTATGAAATTTTGATGTTATTTTGAATATGTACACATAAGGAACTTGATTGTCTGACTATGTATAAGTTTTTGAAGGGTACCAATTGGAACACCTTTACTATATGCAATGCTCTGTAAAGACACATCATCTTGTTCTTTACAGATATTGATGAATGTGCGTCCGGACCCTGTGATAATGAGGGTAGCTGTACTGATAAAGTGAATGGATACACCTGCACATGTGCTCCAGGGTATAATGGAGTTCACTGTGAAATAAGTAAGTCTTTTTCATTCAGCGGGAATTATCAGCTCAAGTGAAAAATGAAATGTTGAAAGACTGATTTTAAAATCTAATTCAGTCTATATTTCTATATTTCATTCAGAAAGTTTAACTTAGGGGAAGTTAAAGAATGGTTACAGACAATTAAAGATTCAAAAAGGATTTGGTGACCAAATACTAAGGATTTTTGTATCCCAGGAATAGATTACTTTAGCTGTATTTGGCAAAACGTTTAGGATTTGTGGGTCCTAAATGCTCTACAACTTTGTACTTTATTTGGCCTTTTTAATTTTTTTGATTCGAGCGTCACTGATGAGTCTTTTGTAGTCGAAACGTGCGTCTGGCGTACACAATTTCAATCCTAGTATCTATGATGAGCTTTTTTGTTGATTGCATCTTCCAATTAAACATCTTTTGTTTTGTATAATTTAACAGATATCAATGAATGTGCATCAGGACCATGTGAGCACGGAGGTAGCTGTACAGATAATGTGAATGAATACACATGTGCATGTGTTCCTGGATATGACGGAGTTCATTGTGAAATAAGTAAGTCTTTTTCATTCATCGAGATTTATCAGCTCAAGTGAAAAATGAAATGTTGAAAGACTGATTTTCAAAATCTAATTCAGTCCTTATTTTTATATTTAATTCGGAAAGTTTAACTTAAGGAAGTTAAAAAATGGTAACAAACAATGTAAGGTTCAAAAAGGATTTGTTGGCCAAATACTTAGGATTTTCTATCCAAGGAATAGATTACTTTAGCTGTATTTGGCAAAACGTTTAGAATTTTGGGGTCCTGAATGCTCTACAACTTTGTACTGTATTTGGCCTTTTTAACTTTTTTGATTCGAGCGTCACTGATGAGTCTTTTGTAGTCGCAACGTGCGTCTGCGTACACAATTTCAATCCTGGCATCGATGATGAGCTTTTTTGTTGATTGCTCTTCCCATTAAACATCTTTTGTTTTGTATAATTTTACAGATATCAATGAATGTGCATCTGGACCATGTGAAAACGGAGGTAGCTGTACAGATAATGTGAATGGATACACATGTTCATGTGTTCCCGGATATGACGGAGTTCATTGTGAAATAAGTAAGGAGAAATTTTTCTATTAGTGTCATCTTATTTTATCATTTGTAATGAAATGTGATATTCTTCTATATGGTTTGAGTACATCACAGATTTGCATTTAGTTCATAGAAATTCAGTTAAGGTTCAAAAATATGAAATAAGTTGATTCATTGATTGCAGATGTACAAGACAGAACCTCTTGATGCATTGCATATAAAACAACTAACATTTCTTTTTCAATAACATTCAGATATAGACGAATGTGCTCCAAAGCCATGTCAGAATGGAGGTACATGTACTGATGGAATAAACGCATACACCTGCACATGTGCTGATGGATACACAGACAATAACTGTCAAACAAGTAAGACAAAACGGGAACATTTCAGATTCCAACAGGGTTCTTCACCCCTATTTAAAACAAAATTAAGCAATATTTGAAAATATTTGAGTTACATAACAAATTGAGTAATAGTGAGTTTCCATGACAAAAGACTCATTATTGCTGCTGATAATAATGTGTACTTTATATAGTGGAATCGTACAAGCTCAACGTGAGGCTTCCTCTGTCGAAATGTCAGTCATAAAATATGTTTTACTTGCTATGAAATTTTGATGTTATTTTGAATATGTACACATAAGGAACTTGATTGTCTGACTACGTATAAGTTTTTGAAGGGTACCAATTGGAACACCTTTACTATATGCAATGCTCTGTAAAGACACATCATCTTGTTCTTTACAGATATTGATGAATGTGCGTCCGCGCCCTGTGATAATGAGGGTAGCTGTACTGATAAAGTGAATGGATACACCTGCACATGTGCTCCAGGGTATAATGGAGTTCACTGTGAAATAAGTAAGTCTTTTTCATTCAGCGGGAATTATCAGCTCAAGTGAAAAATGAAATGTTGAAAGACTGATTTTCAAAATCTAATTCAGTCTTTATTTCTATATTTCATTCAGAAAGTTTAACTTAGAGAAGTTAAAGAATGGTTACAGACAATTAAAGATTCAAAAAGGATTTGGTGACCAAATACTAAGGATTTTCTATCCCAGGAATAGATTACTTTAGCTGTACTTGGCAAAACGTTTAGGATTTTTGGGTCCTAAATGCTCTAGAACTTTGTACTTTATTTGGCCTTTTTAATTTTTTTGATTCGAGCGTCACTGATGAGTCTTTTGTAGTCGAAACGTGCGTCTGGCGTACACAATTTCAATCCTAGTATCTATGATGAGCTTTTTTGTTGATTGCATCTTCCCATTAAACATCTTTTGTTTTGTATAATTTAACAGATATCAATGAATGTGCATCAGGACCATGTGAGCACGGAGGTAGCTGTACAGATAATGTGAATGGATACACATGTGGATGTGTTCCTGGATATGACGGAGTTCATTGTGAAATAAGTAAGTCTTTTTCATTCATCGAGATTTATCAGCTCAAGTGAAAAATGAAATGTTGAAAGACTGATTTTCAAAATCTAATTCAGTCCTTATTTTTATATTTAATTCAAAAAGTTTAACTTAAGGAAGTTAAAAAATGGTAACAAACAATATAAGGTTCAAAAAGGATTTGTTGGCCAAATACTTAGGATTTTCTATCCAAGGAATAGATTACTTTAGCTGTATTTGGCAAAACGTTTAGGATTTTTGGGTCCTAAATGCTCTACAACTTTGTATTGTATTTGGCCTTTTTAACTTTTTGGATTCGAGCGTCACTGATGAGTCTTTTATAGTCAAAACGTGCGTCTGCGTACACAATTTCAATCCTGGCATCGATGATGAGCTTTTTTGTTGATTGCATCTTCCCATTAAACATCTTTTGTTTTGTATAATTTAACAGATATCAATGAATGTGCATCTGGACCATGTGAAAACGGAGGTAGCTGTACAGATAATGTGAATGGATACACATGTTCATGTGTTCCCGGATATGACGGAGTTCATTGTGAAATAAGTAAGAAGAAAGTTTTCTATTAGTGTCATCTTATTTTATCATTTGTAATGAAATGTGATATTCTTCTATATGGTCTGAGTACATCACAGATTTGCCTTTAGTTCATAGAAATTCGGTTAAGGTTCAAAAATATGAAATAAGTTGATTCATTGATTGCAGATGTACAAGACAGAACCTCTTGATGCGTTGCATATTAAACAACTAACATTTCTTTTTCAATAACATTCAGATATAGACGAATGTGCTCCAAAGCCATGTCAGAATGGAGGTACATGTACTGATGGAATAAACGCATACACCTGCACATGTGCTGATGGATACACAGACAATAACTGTCAAACAAGTAAGACAAAACGGGAACATTTCAGATTCCAACAGGGTTCTTCACCCCCATTTAAAACAAAATGAATCAATATTTGAAAATATTTGTGTTACATAACAAATTGAGTAATAGTGAGTTTCCATGACAAAAGACTCATTATTGCTGCTGATAATAATGTGTACTTTATATGGTGGAAGCGTACAAGCTCAAAGTGAGGCTTCCTCTGTCGAAATGCCAGTCAGAAAATACGTTTTACTTGCTATGAAAATTTGATGTCATTTTGAATATGTACACATAAGGAACTTGATTGTCTGACTACGTATAAGTTTTTGAAGGGTACCAATTGGAACACCTTTACTATATGCAATGCTCTGTAAAGACACATCATCTTGTTCTTTACAGATATTGATGAATGTGCGTCCGGACCCTGTGATAATGAGGGTAGCTGTACTGATAAAGTGAATGGATACACCTGCACATGTGCTCCAGGGTATAATGGAGTTTACTGTGAAATAAGTAAGTCTTTTTCATTCAGCGGGAATTATCAGCTCAAGTGAAAAATGAAATGTTGAAAGACTGATTTTCAAAATCTAATTCAGTCTTTATTTCTATATTTCATTCAGAAAGATTAATTTCGAGAAGTTAAAGAATAGTTACAGACAATTACAGATTCAAAAAGGATTTGGTGACCAAATACTAAGGATTTTCTATCCCAGGAATATATTACTTTAGCTGTACTTGGCAAAACGTTTAGGATTTGTGGGTCCTAAATGCTTTACAATTTTGTACTTTATTTGGCCTTTTTAATTTTTTTGATTCGAGCGTCACTGATGAGTCTTTTGTAGTCGAAACGTGCGTCTGGCGTACACAATTTCAATCCTAGTATCTATGATGAGCTTTTTTGTTGATTGCATCTTCCCATTAAACATCTTTTGTTTTGTATAATTTAACAGATATCAATGAATGTGCATCAGGACCATGTGAGCACGGAGGTAGCTGTACAGATAATGTGAATGGATACACATGTGCATGTGTTCCTGGATATGACGGAGTTCATTGTGAAATAAGTAAGTCTTTTTCATTCATCGAGATTTAACAGCTCAAGTGAAAAATGAAATGTTGAAATACTGATTTTCAAAATCTAATTCAGTCCTTATTTTTATATTTAATTCAGAAAGTTTAACTTAAGGAAGTTAAAAAATGGTAACAAACAATGTAAGGTTCAAAAAGGATTTGTTGGCCAAATACTTAGGATTTTCTATCCAAGGAATAGATTACTTTAGCTGTATTTGGCAAAACGTTTAGGATTTTTGGGTCCTAAATGCTCTACAACTTTGTACTTTATTTGGCCTTTTTAACTTTTTGGATTCGAGCGTCACTGATGAGTCTTTTATAGTCAAAACGTGCGTCTGCGTACACAATTTCAATCCTGGCATCGATGATGAGCTTTTTTGTTGATTGCATCTTCCCATTAAACATCTTTTGTTTTGTATAATTTAACAGATATCAATGAATGTGCATCTGGACCATGTGAAAACGGAGGTAGCTGTACAGATAATGTGAATGGATACACATGTTCATGTGTTTCCGGATATGACGGAGTTCATTGTGAAATAAGTAAGAAGAAAGTTTTCTATTAGTGTCATCTTATTTTATCATTTGTAATGAAATGTGATATTCTTCTATATGGTCTGAGTACATCACAGATTTGCCTTTAGTTCATAGAAATTCGGTTAAGGTTCAAAAATATGAAATAAGTTGATTCATTAATTGCAGATGTACAAGACAGAACCTCTTGATGCATTGCATATAAAACAACTAACATTTCTTTTTCAATAACATTCAGATATAGACGAATGTGCTCCAAAGCCATGTCAGAATGGAGGTACATGTACTGATGGAATAAACGCATACACCTGCACATGTGCTGATGGATACACAGACAATAACTGTCAAACAAGTAAGACAAAACGGGAACATTTCAGATTCCAACAGGGTTCTTCACCCCCATTTAAAACAAAATGAAGCAATATTTGAAAATATTTGTGTTACATAACAAATTGAGTAATAGTGAGTTTCCATGACAAAAGACTCATTATTGCTGCTGATAATAATGTGTACTTTATATGGTGGAAGCGTACAAGCTCAAAGTGAGGCTTCCTCTGTCGAAATGTCAGTCAGAAAATATGTTTTACTTGCTATGAAAATTTGATGTCATTTTGAATATGTACACATAAGGAACTTGATTGTCTGACTACGTATAAGTTTTTGAAGGGTACCAATTGGAACACCTTTACTATATGCAATGCTCTGTAAAGACACATCATCTTGTTCTTTACAGATATTGATGAATGTGCGTCCGGACCCTGTGATAATGAGGGTAGCTGTACTGATAAAGTGAATGGATACACCTGCACATGTGCTCCAGGGTATAATGGAGTTCACTGTGAAATAAGTAAGTCTTTTTCATTCAGCGGGAATTATCAGCTCAAGTGAAAAATGAAATGTTGAAAGACTGATTTTCAAAATCTAATTCAGTCTTTATTTCTATATTTGATTCAGAAAGATTAATTTAGAGAAGTTAAAGAATGGTTACAGACAATTAAAGATTCAAAAAGGATTTGGTGACCAAATACTAAGGATTTTCTATCCCAGGAATAGATTACTTTAGCTGTACTTGGCAAAACGTTTAGTATTTGTGGGTCCTAAATGCTTTACAACTTTGTACTTTATTTGGCCTTTTTAATTTTTTTGATTCGAGCGTCACTGATGAGTCTTTTGTAGTCGAAACGTGCGTCTGGCGTACACAATTTCAATCCTAGTATCTATGATGAGCTTTTTTGTTGATTGCATCTTCCCATTAAACATCTTTTGTTTTGTATAATTTTACAGATATCAATGAATGTGCATCAGGACCATGTGAGCACGGAGGTAGCTGTACAGATAATGTGAATGGATACACATGTGCATGTGTTCCTGGATATGACGGAGTTCATTGTGAAATAAGTAAGTCTTTTTCATTCATCGAGATTTAACAGCTCAAGTGAAAAATGAAATGTTGAAATACTGATTTTCAAAATCTAATTCAGTCCTTATTTTTATATTTAATTCAGAAAGTTTAACTTAAGGAAGTTAAAAAATGGTAACAAACAATATAAGGTTCAAAAAGGATTTGTTGGCCAAATACTTAGGATTTTCTATCCAAGGAATAGATTACTTTAGCTGTATTTGGCAAAACGTTTAGGAATTTTGGGTCCTAAATGCTCTACAACTTTGTACTTTATTTGGCCTTTTTAACTTTTTGGATTCGAGCGTCACTGATGAGTCTTTTATAGTCAAAACGTGCGTCTGCGTACACAATTTCAATCCTGGCATCGATGATGAGCTTTTTTGTTGATTGCATCTTCCCATTAAACATCTTTTGTTTTGTATAATTTAACAGATATCAATGAATGTGCATCTGGACCATGTGAAAACGGAGGTAGCTGTACAGATAATGTGAATGGATACACATGTTCATGTGTTCCCGGATATGACGGAGTTCATTGTGAAATAAGTAAGAAGAAAGTTTTCTATTAGTGTCATCTTATTTTATCATTTGTAATGAAATGTGATATTCTTCTATATGGTCTGAGTACATCACAGATTTGCCTTTAGTTCATAGAAATTCGGTTAAGGTTCAAAAATATGAAATAAGTTGATTCATTAATTGCAGATGTACAAGACAGAACCTCTTGATGCATTGCATATAAAACAACTAACATTTCTTTTTCAATAACATTCAGATATAGACGAATGTGCTCCAAAGCCATGTCAGAATGGAGGTACATGTACTGATGGAATAAACGCATACACCTGCACATGTGCTGATGGATACACAGACAATAACTGTCAAACAAGTAAGACAAAACGGGAACATTTCAGATTCCAACAGGGTTCTTCACCCCCATTTAAAACAAAATGAAGCAATATTTGAAAATATTTGTGTCACATAACAAATTGAGTAATAGTGAGTTTCCATGACAAAAGACTCATTATTGCTGCTGATAATAATGTGTACTTTATATGGTGGAAGCGTACAAGCTCAAAGTGAGGCTTCCTCTGTCGAAATGTCAGTCAGAAAATATGTTTTACTTGCTATGAAAATTTGATGTCATTTTGAATATGTACACATAAGGAACTTGATTGTCTGACTACGTATAAGTTTTTGAAGGGTACCAATTGGAACACCTTTACTATATGCAATGCTCTGTAAAGACACATCATCTTGTTCTTTACAGATATTGATGAATGTGCGTCCGGACCCTGTGATAATGAGGGTAGCTGTACTGATAAAGTGAATGGATACACCTGCACATGTGCTCCAGGGTATAATGGAGTTCACTGTGAAATAAGTAAGTCTTTTTCATTCAGCGGGAATTATCAGCTCAAGTGAAAAATGAAATGTTGAAAGACTGATTTTCAAAATCTAATTCAGTCTTTATTTCTATATTTGATTCAGAAAGATTAATTTAGAGAAGTTAAAGAATGGTTACAGACAATTAAAGATTCAAAAAGGATTTGGTGACCAAATACTAAGGATTTTCTATCCCAGGAATAGATTACTTTAGCTGTACTTGGCAAAACGTTTAGGATTTGTGGGTCCTAAATGCTTTACAACTTTGTACTTTATTTGGCCTTTTTAATTTTTTTGATTCGAGCGTCACTGATGAGTCTTTTGTAGTCGAAACGTGCGTCTGGCGTACACAATTTCAATCCTAGTATCTATGATGAGCTTTTTTGTTGATTGCATCTTCCCATTAAACATCTTTTGTTTTGTATAATTTAACAGATATCAATGAATGTGCATCAGGACCATGTGAGCACGGAGGTAGCTGTACAGATAATGTGAATGGATACACATGTGCATGTGTTCCTGGATATGACGGAGTTCATTGTGAAATAAGTAAGTCTTTTTCATTCATCGAGATTTAACAGCTCAAGTGAAAAATGAAATGTTGAAATACTGATTTTCAAAATCTAATTCAGTCCTTATTTTTATATTTAATTCAGAAAGTTTAACTTAAGGAAGTTAAAAAATGGTAACAAACAATGTAAGGTTCAAAAAGGATTTGTTGGCCAAATACTTAGGATTTTCTATCCAAGGAATAGATTACTTTAGCTGTATTTGGCAAAACGTTTAGGATTTTTGGGTCCTAAATGCTCTACAACTTTGTACTTTATTTGGCCTTTTTAACTTTTTGGATTCGAGCGTCACTGATGAGTCTTTTATAGTCAAAACGTGCGTCTGCGTACACAATTTCAATCCTGGCATCGATGATGAGCTTTTTTGTTGATTGCATCTTCCCATTAAACATCTTTTGTTTTGTATAATTTAACAGATATCAATGAATGTGCATCTGGACCATGTGAAAACGGAGGTAGCTGTACAGATAATGTGAATGGATACACATGTTCATGTGTTCCCGGATATGACGGAGTTCATTGTGAAATAAGTAAGAAGAAAGTTTTCTATTAGTGTCATCTTATTTTATCATTTGTAATGAAATGTGATATTCTTCTATATGGTCTGAGTACATCACAGATTTGCCTTTAGTTCATAGAAATTCGGTTAAGGTTCAAAAATATGAAATAAGTTGATTCATTGATTGCAGATGTACAAGACAGAACCTCTTGATGCGTTGCATATTAAACAACTAACATTTCTTTTTCAATAACATTCAGATATAGACGAATGTGCTCCAAAGCCATGTCAGAATGGAGGTACATGTACTGATGGAATAAACGCATACACCTGCACATGTGCTGATGGATACACAGACAATAACTGTCAAACAAGTAAGACAAAACGGGAACATTTCAGATTCCAACAGGGTTCTTCATCCCCATTTAAAACAAAATGAAGCAATATTTGAAAATATTTGTGTTACATAACAAATTGAGTAATAGTGAGTTTCCATGACAAAAGACTCATTATTGCTGCTGATAATAATGTGTACTTTATATGGTGGAAGCGTACAAGCTCAAAGTGAGGCTTCCTCTGTCGAAATGTCAGTCAGAAAATATGTTTTACTTGCTATGAAAATTTGATGTCATTTTGAATATGTACACATAAGGAACTTGATTGTCTGACTACGTATAAGTTTTTGAAGGGTACCAATTGGAACACCTTTACTATATGCAATGCTCTGTAAAGACACATCATCTTGTTCTTTACAGATATTGATGAATGTGCGTCCGGACCCTGTGATAATGAGGGTAGCTGTACTGATAAAGTGAATGGATACACCTGCACATGTGCTCCAGGGTATAATGGAGTTCACTGTGAAATAAGTAAGTCTTTTTCATTCAGCGGGAATTATCAGCTCAAGTGAAAAATGAAATGTTGAAAGACTGATTTTCAAAATCTAATTCAGTCTTTATTTCTATATTTGATTTAGAAAGAATAATTTCGAGAAGTTAAAGAATGGTTACAGACAATTAAAGATTCAAAAAGGATTTGGTGACCAAATACTAAGGATTTTCTATCCCAGGAATAGATTACTTTAGCTGTACTTGGCAAAACGTTTAGGATTTGTGGGTCCTAAATGCTTTACAACTTTGTAATTTATTTGGCCTTTTTAATTTTTTTGATTCGAGCGTCACTGATGAGTCTTTTGTAGTCGAAACGTGCGTCTGGCGTACACAATTTCAATCCTAGTATCTATGATGAGCTTTTTTGTTGATTGCATCTTCCCATTAAACATCTTTTGTTTTGTATAATTTAACAGATATCAATGAATGTGCATCAGGACCATGTGAGCACGGAGGTAGCTGTACAGATAATGTGAATGGATACACATGTGCATGTGTTCCTGGATATGACGGAGTTCATTGTGAAATAAGTAAGTCTTTTTCATTCATCGAGATTTAACAGCTCAAGTGAAAAATGAAATGTTGAAATACTGATTTTCAAAATCTAATTCAGTCCTTATTTTTATATTTAATTCAGAAAGTTTAACTTAAGGAAGTTAAAAAATGGTAACAAACAATGTAAGGTTCAAAAAGGATTTGTTGGCCAAATACTTAGGATTTTCTATCCAAGGAATAGATTACTTTAGCTGTATTTGGCAAAACGTTTAGGATTTTTGGGTCCTAAATGCTCTACAACTTTGTACTTTATTTGGCCTTTTTAACTTTTTGGATTCGAGCGTCACTGATGAGTCTTTTATAGTCAAAACGTGCGTCTGCGTACACAATTTCAATCCTGGCATCGATGATGAGCTTTTTTGTTGATTGCATCTTCCCATTAAACATCTTTTGTTTTGTATAATTTAACAGATATCAATGAATGTGCATCTGGACCATGTGAAAACGGAGGTAGCTGTACAGATAATGTGAATGGATACACATGTTCATGTGTTCCCGGATATGACGGAGTTCATTGTGAAATAAGTAAGAAGAAAGTTTTCTATTAGTGTCATCTTATTTTATCATTTGTAATGAAATGTGATATTCTTCTATATGGTCTGAGTACATCACAGATTTGCCTTTAGTTCATAGAAATTCGGTTAAGGTTCAAAAATATGAAATAAGTTGATTCATTAATTGCAGATGTACAAGACAGAACCTCTTGATGCATTGCATATAAAACAACTAACATTTCTTTTTCAATAACATTCAGATATAGACGAATGTGCTCCAAAGCCATGTCAGAATGGAGGTACATGTACTGATGGAATAAACGCATACACCTGCACATGTGCTGATGGATACACAGACAATAACTGTCAAACAAGTAAGACAAAACGGGAACATTTCAGATTCCAACAGGGTTCTTCACCCCCATTTAAAACAAAATGAAGCAATATTTGAAAATATTTGTGTTACATAACAAATTGAGTAATAGTGAGTTTCCATGACAAAAGACTCATTATTGCTGCTGATAATAATGTGTACTTTATATGGTGGAAGCGTACAAGCTCAAAGTGAGGCTTCCTCTGTCGAAATGTCAGTCAGAAAATATGTTTTACTTGCTATGAAAATTTGATGTCATTTTGAATATGTACACATAAGGAACTTGATTGTCTGACTACGTATAAGTTTTTGAAGGGTACCAATTGGAACACCTTTACTATATGCAATGCTCTGTAAAGACACATCATCTTGTTCTTTACAGATATTGATGAATGTGCGTCCGGACCCTGTGATAATGAGGGTAGCTGTACTGATAAAGTGAATGGATACACCTGCACATGTGCTCCAGGGTATAATGGAGTTCACTGTGAAATAAGTAAGTCTTTTTCATTCAGCGGGAATTATCAGCTCAAGTGAAAAATGAAATGTTGAAAGACTGATTTTCAAAATCTAATTCAGTCTTTATTTCTATATTTGATTCAGAAAGAATAATTTCGAGAAGTTAAAGAATGGTTACAGACAATTAAAGATTCAAAAAGGATTTGGTGACCAAATACTAAGGATTTTCTATCCCAGGAATAGATTACTTTAGCTGTACTTGGCAAAACGTTTAGGATTTGTGGGTCCTAAATGCTTTACAACTTTGTAATTTATTTGGCCTTTTTAATTTTTTTGATTCGAGCGTCACTGATGAGTCTTTTGTAGTCGAAACGTGCGTCTGGCGTACACAATTTCAATCCTAGTATCTATGATGAGCTTTTTTGTTGATTGCATCTTCCCATTAAACATCTTTTGTTTTGTATAATTTAACAGATATCAATGAATGTGCATCAGGACCATGTGAGCACGGAGGTAGCTGTACAGATAATGTGAATGGATACACATGTGCATGTGTTCCTGGATATGACGGAGTTCATTGTGAAATAAGTAAGTCTTTTTCATTCATCGAGATTTAACAGCTCAAGTGAAAAATGAAATGTTGAAATACTGATTTTCAAAATCTAATTCAGTCCTTATTTTTATATTTAATTCAGAAAGTTTAACTTAAGGAAGTTAAAAAATGGTAACAAACAATGTAAGGTTCAAAAAGGATTTGTTGGCCAAATACTTAGGATTTTCTATCCAAGGAATAGATTACTTTAGCTGTATTTGGCAAAACGTTTAGGATTTTTGGGTCCTAAATGCTCTACAACTTTGTACTTTATTTGGCCTTTTTAACTTTTTGGATTCGAGCGTCACTGATGAGTCTTTTATAGTCAAAACGTGCGTCTGCGTACACAATTTCAATCCTGGCATCGATGATGAGCTTTTTTGTTGATTGCATCTTCCCATTAAACATCTTTTGTTTTGTATAATTTAACAGATATCAATGAATGTGCATCTGGACCATGTGAAAACGGAGGTAGCTGTACAGATAATGTGAATGGATACACATGTTCATGTGTTCCCGGATATGACGGAGTTCATTGTGAAATAAGTAAGAAGAAAGTTTTCTATTAGTGTCATCTTATTTTATCATTTGTAATGAAATGTGATATTCTTCTATATGGTCTGAGTACATCACAGATTTGCCTTTAGTTCATAGAAATTCGGTTAAGGTTCAAAAATATGAAATAAGTTGATTCATTAATTGCAGATGTACAAGACAGAACCTCTTGATGCATTGCATATAAAACAACTAACATTTCTTTTTCAATAACATTCAGATATAGACGAATGTGCTCCAAAGCCATGTCAGAATGGAGGTACATGTACTGATGGAATAAACGCATACACCTGCACATGTGCTGATGGATACACAGACAATAACTGTCAAACAAGTAAGACAAAACGGGAACATTTCAGATTCCAACAGGGTTCTTCACCCCCATTTAAAACAAAATGAAGCAATATTTGAAAATATTTGTGTTACATAACAAATTGAGTAATAGTGAGTTTCCATGACAAAAGACTCATTATTGCTGCTGATAATAATGTGTACTTTATATGGTGGAAGCGTACAAGCTCAAAGTGAGGCTTCCTCTGTCGAAATGTCAGTCAGAAAATATGTTTTACTTGCTATGAAAATTTGATGTCATTTTGAATATGTACACATAAGGAACTTGATTGTCTGACTACGTATAAGTTTTTGAAGGGTACCAATTGGAACACCTTTACTATATGCAATGCTCTGTAAAGACACATCATCTTGTTCTTTACAGATATTGATGAATGTGCGTCCGGACCCTGTGATAATGAGGGTAGCTGTACTGATAAAGTGAATGGATACACCTGCACATGTGCTCCAGGGTATAATGGAGTTCACTGTGAAATAAGTAAGTCTTTTTCATTCAGCGGGAATTATCAGCTCAAGTGAAAAATGAAATGTTGAAAGACTGATTTTCAAAATCTAATTCAGTCTTTATTTCTATATTTCATTCAGAAAGATTAATTTAGAGAAGTTAAAGAATGGTTACAGACAATTAAAGATTCAAAAAGGATTTGGTGACCAAATACTAAGGATTTTCTATCCCAGGAATAGATTACTTTAGCTGTACTTGGCAAAACGTTTAGGATTTGTGGGTCCTAAATGCTTTACAACTTTGTACTTTATTTGGCCTTTTTAATTTTTTTGATTCGAGCGTCACTGATGAGTCTTTTGTAGTCGAAACGTGCGTCTGGCGTACACAATTTCAATCCTAGTATCTATGATGAGCTTTTTTGTTGATTGCATCTTCCCATTAAACATCTTTTGTTTTGTATAATTTAACAGATATCAATGAATGTGCATCAGGACCATGTGAGCACGGAGGTAGCTGTACAGATAATGTGAATGGATACACATGTGCATGTGTTCCTGGATATGACGGAGTTCATTGTGAAATAAGTAAGTCTTTTTCATTCATCGAGATTTAACAGCTCAAGTGAAAAATGAAATGTTGAAATACTGATTTTCAAAATCTAATTCAGTCCTTATTTTTATATTTAATTCAGAAAGTTTAACTTAAGGAAGTTAAAAAATGGTAACAAACAATGTAAGGTTCAAAAAGGATTTGTTGGCCAAATACTTAGGATTTTCTATCCAAGAAATAGATTACTTTAGCTGTATTTGGCAAAACGTTTAGGATTTTTGGGTCCTAAATGCTCTACAACTTTGTACTTTATTTGGCCTTTTTAACTTTTTGGATTCGAGCGTCACTGATGAGTCTTTTATAGTCAAAACGTGCGTCTGCGTACACAATTTCAATCCTGGCATCGATGATGAGCTTTTTTGTTGATTGCATCTTCCCATTAAACATCTTTTGTTTTGTATAATTTAACAGATATCAATGAATGTGCATCTGGACCATGTGAAAACGGAGGTAGCTGTACAGATAATGTGAATGGATACACATGTTCATGTGTTCCCGGATATGACGGAGTTCATTGTGAAATAAGTAAGAAGAAAGTTTTCTATTAGTGTCATCTTATTTTATCATTTGTAATGAAATGTGATATTCTTCTATATGGTCTGAGTACATCACAGATTTGCCTTTAGTTCATAGAAATTCGGTTAAGGTTCAAAAATATGAAATAAGTTCATTCATTGATTGCAGATGTACAAGACAGAACCTCTTGATGAGTTGCATATTAAACAACTAACATTTCTTTTTCAATAACATTCTGATATAGACGAATTTGCGTCAAAGCCATGTCAGAATGGAGGTACATGTACTGATGGAATAAACGCATACACCTGCACATGTGCTGATGGATACACAGACAATAACTGTCAAACAAGTAAGACAAAACGGGAACATTTCAGATTCCAACAGGGTTCTTCACCCCCATTTAAAACAAAATGAAGCAATATTTGAAAATATTTGTGTTACATAACAAATTGAGTAATAGTGAGTTTCCATGACAAAAGACTCATTATTGCTGCTGATAATAATGTGTACTTTATATGGTGGAAGCGTAGAAGCTCAAAGTGAGGCTTCCTCTGTCGAAATGTCAGTCAGAAAATATGTTTTACTTGCTATGAAAATTTGATGTCATTTTGAATATGTACACATAAGGAACTTGATTGTCTGACTACGTATAAGTTTTTGAAGGGTACCAATTGGAACACCTTTACTATATGCAATGCTCTGTAAAGACACATCATCTTGTTCTTTACAGATATTGATGAATGTGCGTCCGGACCCTGTGATAATGAGGGTAGCTGTACTGATAAAGTGAATGGATACACCTGCACATGTGCTCCAGGGTATAATGGAGTTCACTGTGAAATAAGTAAGTCTTTTTCATTCAGCGGGAATTATCAGCTCAAGTGAAAAATGAAATGTTGAAAGACTGATTTTCAAAATCTAATTCAGTCTTTATTTCTATATTTCATTCAGAAAGATTAATTTAGAGAAGTTAAAGAATGGTTACAGACAATTAAAGATTCAAAAAGGATTTGGTGACCAAATACTAAGGATTTTCTATCCCAGGAATAGATTACTTTAGCTGTACTTGGCAAAACGTTTAGGATTTGTGGGTCCTAAATGCTTTACAACTTTGTACTTTATTTGGCCTTTTTAATTTTTTTGATTCGAGCGTCACTGATGAGTCTTTTGTAGTCGAAACGTGCGTCTGGCGTACACAATTTCAATCCTAGTATCTATGATGAGCTTTTTTGTTGATTGCATCTTCCCATTAAACATCTTTTGTTTTGTATAATTTAACAGATATCAATGAATGTGCATCAGGACCATGTGAGCACGGAGGTAGCTGTACAGATAATGTGAATGGATACACATGTGCATGTGTTCCTGGATATGACGGAGTTCATTGTGAAATAAGTAAGTCTTTTTCATTCATCGAGATTTAACAGCTCAAGTGAAAAATGAAATGTTGAAATACTGATTTTCAAAATCTAATTCAGTACTTATTTTTATATTTAATTCAGAAAGTTTAACTTAAGGAAGTTAAAAAATGGTAACAAACAATGTAAGGTTCAAAAAGGATTTGTTGGCCAAATACTTAGGATTTTCTATCCAAGAAATAGATTACTTTAGCTGTATTTGGCAAAACGTTTAGGATTTTTGGGTCCTAAATGCTCTACAACTTTGTACTTTATTTGGCCTTTTTAACTTTTTGGATTCGAGCGTCACTGATGAGTCTTTTATAGTCAAAACGTGCGTCTGCGTACACAATTTCAATCCTGGCATCGATGATGAGCTTTTTTGTTGATTGCATCTTCCCATTAAACATCTTTTGTTTTGTATAATTTAACAGATATCAATGAATGTGCATCAGGACCATGTGAAAACGGAGGTAGCTGTACAGATAATGTGAATGGATACACATGTTCATGTGTTCCCGGATATGTGGGAGTTCATTGTGAAATAAGTAAGAAGAAAGTTTTCTATTAGTGTCATCTTATTTTATCATTTGTAATGAAATGTGATATTCTTCTATATGGTCTGAGTACATCACAGATTTGCCTTTAGTTCATAGAAATTCGGTTAAGGTTCAAAAATATGAAATAAGTTGATTCATTGATTGCAGATGTACAAGACAGAACCTCTTGATGCGTTGCATATTAAACAACTAACATTTCTTTTTCAATAACATTCTGATATAGACGAATTTGCGTCAAAGCCATGTCAGAATGGAGGTACATGTACTGATGGAATAAACGCATACACCTGCACATGTGCTGATGGATACACAGACAATAACTGTCAAACAAGTAAGACAAAACGGGAACATTTCAGATTCCAACAGGGTTCTTCACCCCCATTTAAAACAAAATGAAGCAATATTTGAAAATATTTGTGTTACATAACAAATTGAGTAATAGTGAGTTTCCATGACAAAAGACTCATTATTGCTGCTGATAATAATGTGTACTTTATATGGTGGAAGCGTACAAGCTCAAAGTGAGGCTTCCTCTGTCGAAATGTCAGTCAGAAAATATGTTTTACTTGCTATGAAAATTTGATGTCATTTTGAATATGTACACATAAGGAACTTGATTGTCTGACTACGTATAAGTTTTTGAAGGGTACCAATTGGAACACCTTTACTATATGCAATGCTCTGTAAAGACACATCATCTTGTTCTTTACAGATATTGATGAATGTGCGTCCGGACCCTGTGATAATGAGGGTAGCTGTACTGATAAAGTGAATGGATACACCTGCACATGTGCTCCAGGGTATAATGGAGTTCACTGTGAAATAAGTAAGTCTTTTTCATTCAGCGGGAATTATCAGCTCAAGTGAAAAATGAAATGTTGAAAGACTGATTTTCAAAATCTAATTCAGTCTTTATTTCTATATTTGATTCAGAAAGAATAATTTCGAGAAGTTAAAGAATGGTTACAGACAATTAAAGATTCAAAAAGGATTTGGTGACCAAATACTAAGGATTTTCTATCCCAGGAATAGATTACTTTAGCTGTACTTGGCAAAACGTTTAGGATTTGTGGGTCCTAAATGCTTTACAACTTTGTAATTTATTTGGCCTTTTTAATTTTTTTGATTCGAGCGTCACTGATGAGTCTTTTGTAGTCGAAACGTGCGTCTGGCGTACACAATTTCAATCCTAGTATCTATGATGAGCTTTTTTGTTGATTGCATCTTCCCATTAAACATCTTTTGTTTTGTATAATTTAACAGATATCAATGAATGTGCATCAGGACCATGTGAGCACGGAGGTAGCTGTACAGATAATGTGAATGGATACACATGTGCATGTGTTCCTGGATATGACGGAGTTCATTGTGAAATAAGTAAGTCTTTTTCATTCATCGAGATTTAACAGCTCAAGTGAAAAATGAAATGTTGAAATACTGATTTTCAAAATCTAATTCAGTCCTTATTTTTATATTTAATTCAGAAAGTTTAACTTAAGGAAGTTAAAAAATGGTAACAAACAATGTAAGGTTCAAAAAGGATTTGTTGGCCAAATACTTAGGATTTTCTATCCAAGGAATAGATTACTTTAGCTGTATTTGGCAAAACGTTTAGGATTTTTGGGTCCTAAATGCTCTACAACTTTGTACTTTATTTGGCCTTTTTAACTTTTTGGATTCGAGCGTCACTGATGAGTCTTTTATAGTCAAAACGTGCGTCTGCGTACACAATTTCAATCCTGGCATCGATGATGAGCTTTTTTGTTGATTGCATCTTCCCATTAAACATCTTTTGTTTTGTATAATTTAACAGATATCAATGAATGTGCATCTGGACCATGTGAAAACGGAGGTAGCTGTACAGATAATGTGAATGGATACACATGTTCATGTGTTCCCGGATATGACGGAGTTCATTGTGAAATAAGTAAGAAGAAAGTTTTCTATTAGTGTCATCTTATTTTATCATTTGTAATGAAATGTGATATTCTTCTATATGGTCTGAGTACATCACAGATTTGCCTTTAGTTCATAGAAATTCGGTTAAGGTTCAAAAATATGAAATAAGTTGATTCATTGATTGCAGATGTACAAGACAGAACCTCTTGATGCGTTGCATATTAAACAACTAACATTTCTTTTTCAATAACATTCTGATATAGACGAATTTGCGTCAAAGCCATGTCAGAATGGAGGTACATGTACTGATGGAATAAACGCATACACCTGCACATGTGCTGATGGATACACAGACAATAACTGTCAAACAAGTAAGACAAAACGGGAACATTTCAGATTCCAACAGGGTTCTTCACCCCCATTTAAAACAAAATGAAGCAATATTTGAAAATATTTGTGTTACATAACAAATTGAGTAATAGTGAGTTTCCATGACAAAAGACTCATTATTGCTGCTGATAATAATGTGTACTTTATATGGTGGAAGCGTACAAGCTCAAAGTGAGGCTTCCTCTGTCGAAATGTCAGTCAGAAAATATGTTTTACTTGCTATGAAAATTTGATGTCATTTTGAATATGTACACATAAGGAACTTGATTGTCTGACTACGTATAAGTTTTTGAAGGGTACCAATTGGAACACCTTTACTATATGCAATGCTCTGTAAAGACACATCATCTTGTTCTTTACAGATATTGATGAATGTGCGTCCGGACCCTGTGATAATGAGGGTAGCTGTACTGATAAAGTGAATGGATACACCTGCACATGTGCTCCAGGGTATAATGGAGTTCACTGTGAAATAAGTAAGTCTTTTTCATTCAGCGGGAATTATCAGCTCAAGTGAAAAATGAAATGTTGAAAGACTGATTTTCAAAATCTAATTCAGTCTTTATTTCTATATTTGATTCAGAAAGAATAATTTCGAGAAGTTAAAGAATGGTTACAGACAATTAAAGATTCAAAAAGGATTTGGTGACCAAATACTAAGGATTTTCTATCCCAGGAATAGATTACTTTAGCTGTACTTGGCAAAACGTTTAGGATTTGTGGGTCCTAAATGCTTTACAACTTTGTAATTTATTTGGCCTTTTTAATTTTTTTGATTCGAGCGTCACTGATGAGTCTTTTGTAGTCGAAACGTGCGTCTGGCGTACACAATTTCAATCCTAGTATCTATGATGAGCTTTTTTGTTGATTGCATCTTCCCATTAAACATCTTTTGTTTTGTATAATTTAACAGATATCAATGAATGTGCATCAGGACCATGTGAGCACGGAGGTAGCTGTACAGATAATGTGAATGGATACACATGTGCATGTGTTCCTGGATATGACGGAGTTCATTGTGAAATAAGTAAGTCTTTTTCATTCATCGAGATTTAACAGCTCAAGTGAAAAATGAAATGTTGAAATACTGATTTTCAAAATCTAATTCAGTACTTATTTTTATATTTAATTCAGAAAGTTTAACTTAAGGAAGTTAAAAAATGGTAACAAACAATGTAAGGTTCAAAAAGGATTTGTTGGCCAAATACTTAGGATTTTCTATCCAAGGAATAGATTACTTTAGCTGTATTTGGCAAAACGTTTAGGATTTTTGGGTCCTAAATGCTCTACAACTTTGTACTTTATTTGGCCTTTTTAACTTTTTGGATTCGAGCGTCACTGATGAGTCTTTTATAGTCAAAACGTGCGTCTGCGTACACAATTTCAATCCTGATATCTATGATGAGATATTTTGTTGATTGCATCTTCCCATTAAACATCTTTTGTTTTGTATAATTTAACAGATATCAATGAATGTGCATCTGGACCATGTGAGCACGGAGGTAGCTGTACAGATAATGTGAATGGATACACATGTTTATGTGTTCTCGGATATGACGGAGTTCATTGTGAAATAAGTAAGAAGAAAGTTTTCTATTAGTGTCATCTTATTTTATCATTTGTAATGAAATGTGATATTCTTCTATATGGTCTGAGTACATCACAGATTTGCCTTTAGTTCACAGAAATTCGGTTAAGGTTCAAAAATATGAAATAAGTTGATTCATTGATTGCAGATGTACAGACAGGACAGAACCTCTTGATGCAAAGCATTGCATATGAAACAAGTAACATTTCTTTTTCAATAACATTCTGATATAGACGAATTTGCGTCAAAGCCATGTCAGAATGGAGGTACATGTACTGATGGAATAAACGCATACACCTGCACATGTGCTGATGGATACACAGACAATAACTGTCAAACAAGTAAGACAAAACGGGAACATTTTAGATTCCAACAGGGTTCTTCACCCCCATTTAAAACAAAATGAAGTAATATTTGAAAATATTTGTGTTACATAACAAATTGAGTAATAGTGAGTTTCTATGACAAAAGACTCAATATTGCTGCTAGCAATAATGTGTACTTGATATGGCGGAAGCGTACAAATTTAACGTGAGGCTTCCTCTGTCGGAATGTCAGTCAGAAAATATCTTTTACTTGCTATGGAAATTTGATGTCATTTTGAATATGTACACATAAGGAACTTGATTGTCTGACTACGTATAAGTTTTTGAAGGGTACCAATTGGAACACCTTAACTATATTCAATGGTCTGTAAACACACAGTATCTTGTTGTTTACAGATATTGATGAATGTGGGTCCGGACCCTGTGATAATGAGGGTAGCTGTACTGATAAAGTGAATGGATACACCTGCACATGTGCTCCAGGTTATAATGGAGTTCACTGTGAAATAGGTAAGTCATTGTGGTTTATTTCGATTTCGAAACTTACATTACGTGTGAAAAGTAGGAAAGGTGAATTTGTTTTTTTTTTCAGTGCTCATCTTTTCCTTATATTGTTAAAATAAGTGATTTGATCGTTTCCAGATTTTGGATTTTTTTTTGCTAATGTCTGTGTCAAAATGACAGTAAATGTAAACTGATAGATAACACATGTCATTTTTGCAAAATCTTTTTATGTGATAATAGTTTGACCATGAAAACGTTAGAATACTTTTGAAAATTATAAAATGTTACAACTTTTGGGTTTCAGATAGAATACCAAAATAAGACAAAATTGATATTTTTTTACATGTTAATTATGATTAAATAAACCACAATTAACATTCAGTTGTCGGATGACCCTATTTTGACCTCTAGATGTCTTTTTATATATATTTTTATATCGTTTATATGTTCTGTTAATGACTTGTTATGTGAATATACATGTGTTAATTATTTTATCACTTTGGACATAAAAATTGTAATACTGGAAGACATTCAGATGACAATTATTGAACATACAAATTGAAAAAGTACGGTAGTTTGTTACTCACCGCAAACTTAAACCTTTTATTTCGCCACTTGTAAATGAACGTTTTTCAATCAACTTTCAGACATTGACGAGTGTGCACCCATTCCCTGTAAAAATGGAGGGAGCTGTACAGATGGAGTTAATGAATATAGTTGCTCATGTGTTCCCGGATATGACGGGAGTGACTGTGAAATAAGTGAGAATATATATATATATGATAATATCGTCATAATGCATAGGCGGAGCTGCATTAAGAACATCTAAATTTTATTCAAGATAGTCTAAATTTTTGTAATCCTTATTTCTAAAATCAATTTCACATTTTACAAAATACCTCAGCAAATACATATTTATTAACGACAAGAATGCTTTACCTTTTGGGAATGGATATAACTAGAGAGTGCAAACTGACAATAAGCAAACAAAAAAAAAAATGATTAAGAAACATATAGATGTCAATACACATTATGTGAAAAAGGTCACAAAATGGTCCTTGTAAAATGCAAAAGACCAGATGACAATCAATAGTTTACTTTCTACAAATTTTAGCAATGCTCAGCATGTACCACGCGCACGTACAGTAGTAAACATTGTGGTAAAATGAAATTTTCTGCAAGTGAGTTATACATTTTTGGAATCTTGTTTCTGATTTTTCACCATTGACATGGATCGTGTTGCTTGAAATAAATGATCAATCCGGTAATACACCATAAGACATAATTTAATGATGTGTATAAGCCATTAATAGTTATGCCTTTAATACATGTTAAAACATCACATATCCGTTTGTATATTCTCAAATTTAAAGAAAAACAGAAATTGGATGGAAGAAAGCAACATAAATTTTGAAAGGATATATGATAATAAAATAATAACCAGAAATATTAAGACAAAACCAACAAAAGGCAAACGATAATTTTTAAAAGTAAACTAATTCGTCTTTTCTTAAGATCATGTTCTAAGTCATCCCTCAATCGATTTCTAGGTGTGTTGTGGTCTGAGCTGCATCGTTAACAAGACATACCAAGATGAAATCTTAATGTAAATTACGACAGTTGTTTAATATTTGACGAAAGAAAAAAAAAACAATAATAATAAGAATATAAGAATGTACATTAATCATTGTTTTTTGTTCATATTATTGCAGATATTAACGAGTGTGAATCCGATCCTTGCAATAATGGAGGTACATGTAATGATGAAGTTAATGGGTACAGTTGTGAATGTGCCCCAGGATATACGGACGATACCTGCAAAACAGGTACCACTTCATTTAGATTTTACACCTTTACCTGATACAATGAAATGGACTATGTTTCAATGATAAAAAAATAACCACAACGTTAACGTTCTATATTACATTTCGATATTGCATCTTAAAAATTTCCAAAGGTCTACCCAATAAATATTTGAAAAAAAAATTGATGTTTGTAGATATTGACGAATGTGCAACTTCACCATGTGAGAACGATGGTAGCTGTGAAGACAGAGTAAATGGATACCATTGTTCATGTGCTGGTGACTTTTATGGAGATAACTGTCAAAACCGTAAGTACACTTTTGAAATGAAAATAACATGGCATAATCAGGCTGCTATCCGAAAACAATGCAGGACAAAAACAGTTGTAAACATTATCAGTATAACAGAACATGAACATGTTGATGTGATATAATTATGAACCTTGTTTTTACTATACAGACACGCTGAGTCCCAATTTTTTCATGCTAGTTCACAAGGTAAAAGTCAACGTAAAGATATGCTACCCGTACACATTATTGCGACTTCGAGTCGACCAGTCTTTTATCTTTATCCTGAATGCCGCATGCCATGCGGAGAAGCAGCAGCAACACTTTTCATGTCTTTTGTTTGAACCCATCAACAGCATATACTCGTCAAACGTGCTACCCGGAGAAAACCAATCAAATAGTCTATATAATAAAGTGCGCTTCAAATCAAATAAAATTTAGTAACCCTTAAGATAGGTGAATCAAGTATGCAAAGGTTTGATTTTATGTTTGATTTAGATGATGGTGGATGGACTATATGGGGTGATTTTTCGGAATGTTCGACAACATGTGGTAGTGGTATACAGATTTCAACAAGAGATTGTTCAAGCCCAGAACCAATTGGCGGTGGTAAAAACTGTCAAGGAGAACAAAGCAAGACTCAAACCTGCTCTAATAAAGTAGAATGTACAGGTATGGCAATGCTCTTATTACATATTTAACCTTTTGCAAAATGAAATAAATTGTTATTACACAAGTTAATTGTTTTAACTGAAAACAGTTAACGCTCAACAAATACATTATAATCAGATAAACTTATCATATGTAAATTATTACATATTATTTTGTGATATATCAACAATAAAGTACCGAAGAAAAAGATTTGTTTTAATATAGGAAAGCTTTTGCCTTATGTTGTAAATTTTTCTCTAAAAAATGTCCATTTGATTCTGATTGGCATACAAATGATACACATGAACTAATACTTAATGGTCAGAATTAACTGCCCCACACTTCATTATCGAATGATATATTTTAAAACAAGTTTTGGTATGTTAACATTTTGAACAACTGTCAAATAAAAATTTTTCTATTTCAGATTCTCCTTTTATCAACTCAGGTAATTTAATTGTCGTGTACTCTTTCTCAATTATTTCAATGTGTGTTGGATAAGGAAAGCATGATTTTCTTTGTGTTAAAAATTACATTTCGAAATCATAAAGTTGAAAGGAGGTATTAGTCCGTGAGAAATGTCTTCATTAAAATGGTTATGACGACTTTGATTTCATAGAACATATAAAATCTTCTAAGAAAAAAAAACAATTCGCCCTAGAATATAATCATGGCGTTTTTACTTGTAGAAAAGGGTCGTATACCCGGAAAAAAACCAACGACCTTTTCGCAGGAAACCTGTCAACATAAGTCAATTAAGATCTGATTATAGGAGAAGAATTTGTAAAAGTGGAAATTCACTTGTTTTCCAATCCTAATGAAACTGTCATATTGTAATGTTTATGTTATTATTTTCACTATAAAATATTGTTTACCCTAAGATCTGATTCGAACACAGCTATCGCGAGACGGGTTCATACTCCCAATAATAGTGTTGACAGGTTAGGGATCACAGATATGAACTACTTGACCACAGGCAACCGACAAAAATAGTTTTAAATTTTCAATATATCACGAGAAAATATTTGATACATTTAAGATCCCTTATTGTTATACAAATATTTGTGTTTGGGAATTCATGATGAATATATTTAGAGAACTCTGGATTATTTAACGAAAAAATATCATCAAGATAACGGTAGGTATTGTTGAATGTGACAACCAAATGTAACAATGACGTGTCTTTATTGATTATGGCAATAAACTGTGATTCATAGTAATATAGGAATAAATCTTCTCTTAAAGGGGCGCAATAAGCGCCCATAGGAATACTATTATTTCTTAGCCGTTTATCGACAATATTCATGAAATCGATAGAAGTTTTAGGTATGTTCCCGTGTCCCAATATTTTGTCATTGAGACCGAGAGGATAAGCTGTTTGAAGTCTTTTCATCAAAAATAGTTCGCGAACTTCACGGGATTTTTCAAATTGTTACATTCTTTAAAACTTTTGAAAATATATCTAGAAAAACACTGATAGCACCAAATTAATAGTGAAATTTTAATCAATTTGCATTTATTATTAGAACCAATTGTCAATCAACATCTAGTCAACGAGGGTATCATCAGCTAGGTTTTAGTGATTTGGTTGACAGACCTATATTAATTGAGTAAAATGTATTAAAAGAACTAAGGTTGAAACTCATTTTGGCTGACTTAACGTTTTTTGGATTTGGACATGGTTCCCTCTAGATCTGGTCATATATCTCCTCAATCACCGAGTGGCTTTCAAATTTTTCTGTAAATTAAGAAATTATTGCGAGGTTTTATGAATGTAGATAATGCGACAAGATGGCTATCGCAACAAAAAGAACTGGCAGTTTGATACCTGATGCATGTCGGATATATACTGCTCTTCCTGAATTAATTATTAATCTTTGATTTTGGTTGGTCATGTCGAATTTGCAATAATGAATGCTCGCTATAATTTCTTAATTTACAGTATTCATTTGATGTATATTGAAGAAGCGTCGATGAAACAGCAACCTATTATTATAAGTTAGCAGAAATAAACATTGACCAACGGCGAATTCTTGTTGTACTCTTTACCTTTAAATCTGTAATTAATGGTATTACAACTGCTTTAACTCGAGCGCCACCGATCAGTCTAGTTTATAAAACAAATATTATAATTTTTTATATAATAGAGAATAAGATTCCTTACATTTTGCACGTGATTCCCAAATTGTATGTTATTGGATAATCTAGTCTCATTTGTAGTAGACGATTTTCTTTGTTCTTTACATGTAGACTTCTGCAGTGGTAAAGTTGACGGCTTCTATTCCAACCAACTGACGTGTGATGCGTATTATGTCTGCCACAATGGTATTACATCTCCAATGTTCTGTGATCATGGTTTACACTGGGATCAGACAAATAAAGTATGCAACAACCCAGACAACGCTGGTTGTACTGTAAATGAACAAAGCGATGATGCAAGATCTGGATATACATCTGGTCAGTTCACAGTAATAGTCTATGTAATGAAGATCAGTTCGGTGTATATTCTCGGTTTTATAAAAGAGTTGCTTATAAATATTTGTTTTAACAATTCAATTGATATTTTCATAGCTTTTGAAAGAATTTAATTTTTAATGCACGAACCATCCATGAAATGTGCTAAATTGTGGATATACCCGATAGGAAGAATTTTGTAGTCGAAACACTATCACATTAACGGTACCAGTGTTAATGCACCAATTACGCATTTCAACATAAAAGGTCTATTCAGAGATGCTCGAGGCCAAATGTTTTGAAAATCAAAAACCTTATACAAACGGTTAAGAGCTGTTAAAACCGAAAAATAAATAGATAATAAAGCCGAACCCGGACAAGGAATCAGACATATACATTAGAGAGATTCATTCCTTAATTTGAAAAAAATGACCTCGAAATTATATTCGTATTTTCATTGATTAAAGATCAAAACAATGTATGTGAAGTTAGCAGCCGGTTCGTTATTCGATATTCGATATTCAATATCCAACCGGCTGCTAGCAGTCGGTTCGATATTCAAATTTAGTGGAAAATCATAAAAAATATAATATTTGATAACATTAAAAGGAGTGAAAAGATACGTAGGAAATCGTGTTATGACCCCTTCAAGTTGTCTTAAAATCTCGTTGTCCTCAAATATAAACCCTTATCAATGCTTATGTAATTTGCATATTTGTCTTTATGTAATATAGATTTTTATAAATAAAACGACATCAAAACTGTAATTATATATCTAATATTTCTTAAAACAAAAACAAAAATCGATCACTCTAGAAAAATATTTAGAAATATAAATAGATATATATATGGAAAGCCCCAAAAAAAGAAATACATATTGAAAACCTACCTGAGACCGCTTAAATGACGGTGAGACCCCCCCCCCCCCCCTGTTCTTTCAATGTCCGTAAAATTCATAGACTCTGTATAAATAAAGATTGTATCAAAATGATTTCCCAGAATAATGTCATCAGTCATCTTCGATATCTACGGAAGTCTTAGATTGTCACTTTTCAGCTAAAAATTGGCAAAATTTTAGGACAAAGGGCACAGGGCAATAGTGAGAGCCCCCTGATCTCTCAATCTGCCTAATATTAAGCAGACAGTTAGTTAATAGGTAGATACAAACGTGACTAAAAGGAATTTGGGTACACTTCTTGTCTTCAATATTTACGGAGGGCCCGAAGTGCTAGTTGGATATTCAAAATATATAGCGAAAATCTACCTTAGACAGCTTAAATGACGGTGAGACCCCCCTGTTCTTTCAATGTCCATAAAATTCGACGAATTCATAGACTCTGTTTAAATAAAGATTGTATCAAAAGGATTTCTCAGAAAATGTCATCTTCGATATCTACGGAGGGCTTAGATTGTCAATTTTCAGTTAAAAATTGTCAAAATTTCAGGACAAAGGGCACAGGGCAATGGTGAGAGCTCCCTGATCTCTCAATCTGCCTAATATTAAGCAGACAGTTAGTTAATAGATAAATACAAACGTGACTAAAAGAAATTAGGGTACACTTCCTGTCTTCTATGTTTACGGAGGGCCCAAAGTGCCAGTTGGATATTCAAAATATATAGCGAAAACCTACCTGAGACCGCTTAAATGACGGTGAGACCCTCCTGTTCTTTCAATGTCCATAAAATTCGACGAATTTATTGACTCTGTATAGATAAAGATTGTATCAAAAAGATTTTTCAGAATAATGTCATCTTCGATATCTACGGAGGGCTTAGATTGACACTTTTCAGCTAAAAATTGTCAAAATTTTAGGACAAAGGGCACAGGGCAATGGTGAGAGCCCCCTGATCTCTCAATCTGCCTAATATTAAGCAGACAGTTAGTTAATAGGTAGATACAAACGTGACTAAAATGAATTTGGATACACTTTTTGTCTTCTATGTTTACAGAGGGCCCAAAGTGCCAGTTGGATATTCAAAATATATAGCGAAAATCTACCTTAGACCGCTTAAATGACGGTGAGACCCCCCTGTTCTTTCAATGTCCATAAAATTCGACGAATTCATTGACTCTGTATAGATAAAGATTGTATCAAAAGGATTTCCCAGAATAATGTCATCAGTCATCTTCGATATCTACGGAAGGCTTAGATTGTCACTTTTCAGCTAAAAATTGTCAAAATTTTAGGACAAAGGGCACAGGGCAATGATGAGAGCCCTCTGATCTCTCAATCTGCCTAATATTAAGCAGACAGTTAGTTAATAGGTAGATATACAAACGTGACTAAAAGGAATTGGGGAACACTTTTTGTCTTCTATATTTACGGAGGGCCCGAAGTGCCGGTTGGATATTCAAAATATATAGCGAAAATCTACCTTAGATAGCTTAAATGACGGTGAGACCCCCCTGTTCTTTCAAAGTCCATAAAATTCGACGAATTCATAGACTCTGTATAAATAAAGATTGTATCAAAAAGATTTCTCAGAAAATGTCATCTTCGATATCTACGGAGGGCTTAGATTGTCAATTTTCAGTTAAAAATTGTCAAAATTTCAGGACAAAGGCCACAGGGCAATGGTGAGAACTCCCTGATCTCTAAATCTGCCTAATAATAAGCAGACAGTTAGTTAATAGGTAGATACAAACGTGACTAAAATGAATTTGGGTACACTTTTTGTCTTCTATGTCTACGGGGGGCCCAAAGTGCCAGTTGGATATTCAAAATATATAGTGAAAACCTACCTGAGACCGCTTAAATGAGGGTAAGACCCCCCTGGTCTTTCAATGTCCATAAAATTCAACTTAATCATAGACTCTGTATATGTTAAGGTTGTATTAGAAGGATTTCCCAGAATAATGTCATCTTCGATATCTACGGAGGGCTCAGATTGTCACTTTTCAGCTAAAAATTATCGAAATTTTAGGACAAAGAGCACAGGGCAATGGTGAGAGCCCCCTGATCTCTCAATCTTTCTAATATTATGCAGACATTTAGTTAATAGGTAGATACAAACGTGACTAAAAGGGATTTGGGTACACATCCTGTCTTCTATGTTTACGGAGCGCCCAAAGTGCCAGTTGGATATTCAAAATATATAGTGAAAACCTACCTGAGACCGCTTAAATGAGGGTGAGACCCCCCTGGTCTTTCAATGTCCATAAAATTCAACTTAATCATAGACACTGTATATGTTAAGGTTGTATTAGAAGGATTTCCCAGAATAATGTCATCTTCGATATCTACGGAGGGCTCAAATTGTCACTTTTCAGCTAAAAATTATCAAAATTTTAAGACAAAGGGCACAGGGCAATGGTGAGAGCCCCCTGATCTCTCAATCTTTCTAATATTATGCAGACATTTAGTTAATAGGTAGATACAAACGTGACTAAAAGGGATTTGGGTACACGTCCTGTCTTCCATGTTTACGGAGCGCCCAAAGTGCCAGTTGGATATTCAAAATATATAGTGAAAACCTACCTGAGACCGCTTAAATGAGGGTGAGACCCCCCTGGTCTTTCAATGTCCATAAAATTCAACTTAATCATAGACTCTGTATATGTAAAAGTTGTATTAGAAGGATTTCCCAGAATAATGTCATCTTCGATATCTACGGAGGGCTCAGATTGTCACTTTTCAGCAAAAAATTATCAAAATTTTAGGACAAAGGGCACAGGGCAATGGTGAGAGCCCCCTGACCTCTCAATCTTTCTAATATTATGCAGACATTTAGTTAATAGGTAGATACAAACGTGACTAAAAGGGATTTGGGTACACGTCCTGTCTTCCATGTTTACGGAGCGCCCAAAGTGCCAGTTGGATATTCAAAATATATAGTGAAAACCTACCTGAGACCGCTTAAATGAGGGTGAGACCCCCCTGGTCTTTCAATGTCCATAAAATTCAACTTAATCATAGACTCTGTATATGTTAAGGTTGTATTAGAAGGATTTCCCAGAATAATGTCATCTTCGATATCTACGGAGGGCTCAGATTGTCACTTTTCAGCTAAAAATTATCAAAATTTTAGGACAAAGGGCACAGGGCAATGGTAAGAGCCCCCTGATCTCTCAATCTTTCTAATATTATGCAGACATTTAGTTAATAGGTAGATACAAACGTGACTAAAAGGGATTTGGGTACACGTCCTGTCTTCCATGTTTACGGAGCGCCCAAAGTGCCAGTTGGATATTCAAAATATATAGTGAAAACCTACCTGAGACCGCTTAAATGAGGGTGAGACCCCCCTGGTCTTTCAATGTCCATAAAATTCAACTTAATCATAGACTCTGTATATGTAAAGGTTGTATTAGAAGGATTTCCCAGAATAATGTCATCTTCGATATCTACGGAGGGCTCAGATTGTCACTTTTCAGCTAAAAATTATCAAAACTTTAGGACAAAGGGCACAGGGCAATGGTGAGAGCCCCCTGATCTCTCAATCTTTCTAATATTATGCAGACATTTAGTTAATAGGTAGATACAAACGTGACTAAAAGGGATTTCGGTACACGTCCTGTCTTCCATGTTTACGGAGCGCCCAAAGTGCCAGTTGGATATTCAAAATATATAGTGAAAACCTACCTGAGACCGCTTAAATGAGGGTGAGACCCCCCTGGTCTTTCAATGTCCATTTTGACGTGTACCCAAATCCCTTTTAGTCACGTTTGTATCTACCTATTAACTAAATGTCTGCATAATATTAGAAAGATTGAGAGATCAGGGGGCTCTCACCATTGCCCTGTGCCCTTTGTCCTAAAATTTTGATAATTTTTAGCTGAAAAGTGACAATCTGAGCCCTCCGTAGATATCGAAGATGACATTATTCTGGGAAATCCTTCTAATACAACCTTTACATATACAGAGTCTATGATTAAGTTGAATTTTATGGACATTGAAAGACCAGGGGGGTCTCACCCTCATTTAAGCGGTCTCAGGTAGGTTTTCACTATATATTTTGAATATCCAACTGGCACTTTGGGCGCTCCGTAAACATGGAAGACAGGACGTGTACCCAAATCCCTTTAAGTCACGTTTGTATCTACCTATTAACTAAATGTCTGCATAATATTAGAAAGAGTGAGAGATCAGGGGGCTCTCACCATTGCCCTGTGCCCTTTGTCCTAAAATTTTGATAATTTTTAGCTGAAAAGTGACAATCTGAGCCCTCCGTCTATGATTAAGTTGAATTTTATGGACATTGAAAGACCAGGGGGGTCTCACTCTCATTTAAGCGGTCTCAGGTAGGTTTTCACTATATATTTCTTTTTTGGGCTTTCCATAAATATTTCTATTTATATTGCTAAATGTTTCTAGAGTTATCGTTTTTCCTTTTGTGTTAAGAAATATCATATATAAAATTACATATTTGAAGTTGTTTTATTGATAAAAATCTTTATTACATAAAGACAAATATGCAACTTAGAAAAGGGTTTATATATGGACAACGAGAATTTACGACAGCTTGAAGAGGTCATTAAACGATTTCCTACGTATCTTATCAGTACTCTTAACTATGAAAATCGTGCTTGTAATGTTATCAAGTATTTATTTTTTTATGATTTTCAACAAAATTTTGAATATCCAACCGACTGCTAGCAGCCGGTTGGATATTGAATATCGAATATCGAATAACAAACCGGCTGCTAACTTCACATACATACCAAAACATCTACTTTTAATTTCAAAGCGGTATTGTTTGCAAATCAAATAAAACATTGTTTACTATTAAATGTTATTGCAACCGAGCGCGGCACTATTAGTTCTGTCAGACATGTGCTCTGCAAGGATCATTATATGTTATTGCATTAGAAATTTGAATTATTTGTTCTGTCAGATATGTGCACTGCAAAGAACGATGGTGATTTTGTTGCTGATCCATATGACTGTTCAATATATTATCGCTGTGTTCATGGAGCCGCTGTTGAATTGAATTGTGCTGCAGGACTGCATTGGTCTGTTACTCTTTCAACATGTGCTTACCCAGCAGACGCTAACTGTACCCCAATGTCAGGTATGTTTTTTGAGATAACAAAATAAAATTAAATTAAAGACATGTTTTAATATGGGCTTTTAATATACTAGTTAGACAACGCATAATTCGCGGATTTACAATTTCATTGACAAAATGTACTGGATGTTACAATTCGGTTAATATAAACGATGCTTTTTTCAACTTCTGTTACACTTAAAAGTGAGCTACAATTACTGTAAAGTTCATTAAAATCTTATCCTGGAATTGAAAGTGCCTATGCACTACTATGTTTTTCAAAGTTCCAAACAAAGGTTTGTACGGAATTGTATCAACATCAACATGCTTCAGACTTTTAAAAGTTTAATATAACAATAAGGAGAATTTATAACAAAATAATTTACTAAATACAAATAAGACAGACATGAACAAACGACAACTACCGAACTACTGTACATGCTCCTGCTTTTTTTTTATTAAAAATCTCCAATACCTCTCCTTTTTACTTTGCTTTCTGAGAATTCAATTAACCGTTATTCAACTGTATTTATAATGGTAAAATTCCTACGTTGTGCCTTTTTGAGATTAAACATTGAGATCATATCTGGGATCCAGTAGGTAAACAAACAAAATAGCTATGCATATTAAGTATTTCCTAAAAAGCAAGCGTGGTTTGTGAATAGCCTATTTTTTATAAAGTGCAATCTGATACTATATTTGACAGTTGATGGTGGATGGACTGATTGGAGTTGGGGTGAATGTTCTGTGTCATGTGGAAGTGGGACACAAACAGGAAGCAGATCATGTACAAACCCAGCACCACTGTATGGGGGCAATGAATGTGATGGGGACCTAACAAAAGTTCAGGACTGTAATTCTTACCTCTGTCAAGGTAGGTTTAGGCTTGTAATAAGATAATTTAATTTGGATTGATAGAAATAAGAGAAAAATGATCAGATTTCCTGTGTTTGTTAACCGTGTCATTGACATTTACCCTTTTGTACATATCTGTCTGTTTGGATGAACCACACAAATAGTGTCCTTTTGCGATTTACTCAATACAAGTTATAATGACGCACATTTTTGTAGAAACGATTTCAAATTTTGAATTAAGTTTCATTCGACTTGATCGTGGTAAAATCATAGATAGGAATTGTGATTGTGCCATGCTGTCTGCACTTTTTGCTAAACAATCCAGAGCAATACTGAGTAGATCAGTTGAAAGGTAGATCAGTATCCTATACAAAAAAAGGCGCTACAATTTATCAGTGATAGTGCTGATGATGGTGAAACATTGTCTTTCCTCCTTCCTCATCAACTCGGCATGCAGACAATTCCAATCTGGGTTTGTTAAAGGTGTTATTATTCTTATTTTACAGATGGCCAATGCTTGACTATGAGATGTGATAGCTGGCAGTATGCGCGACAAGAATGTGATGTAACAGGCTTGACATCTAATAGTTTATTGTACAGCATGACGCTCTTAAAACAGTACTCCCCTATTTCGGACGGTGAATGCACAAACGGTTATTCATTTGGGTACAACACCACTGGAGTTTGGGTAGATGAAGGATGTAGAGCAGATTTCACTGTGTGCTTTATACCAGGTAATTTCACGCCAATAACAAAAGCAGAGTTAGTAACGAATCATATTTGCCCGTCTATTTGTCCAAAAAACCATGAGTCGAAAGTTTTCTTTGCTTCTATGAAAAGAAATGGTTTTGTTTTTGGTTAATTTGAAAAAAAATTAAGTTGTAGCGTGTAAGCAAATTTTACCTCATCCATGAAGCTACTTACTTACTTTATAATGCCAATATCGTTGAAATTTTACAACACTCAATATACGTCTAAGCTTTCTTGGCTTCGTTTGAAGGGAAGGATTTCATATTTGGTTTACAGCTTGATAATGTTTAATAGCCTTGTGACCAATTCAGGTGTGTCGTAGATTCGTTTACAAGGGTTTATTTTGTCAAATTATTGTTGGCTTAATTATTTCTGCTTTAGTATTCATGTTACTTTAATCAATTGCATGAATGGACGTAGGTTCAGATACGGTATTGATATTGATTAACAATAATCTTTCAATAGAATGTTTGATGTGAATAGAAATTTCAAGAAAGTGATACTTAAAAAAAGATAGAAATTAAGATTTTAATCAAAACATGGTTCAAAAGATGAAGGACCAACAAACAATCGTCATTAAAAACAAACTTTTAAAAATGGTACCCCGGAAGTGGATGTAGTCTCATTTTTACTTTTGGCAACCCGTTTTGTTACTCGTCATGCAACAATGTCGTAATAAGTTTCATCTGGTGATGTCAAAAGGAAAAAGGCACGATAGTCAGTGACATACATATTATATAAGGTCAATCAAATTATGATGGTGTCCGCAACTGTTACAGACACGATTATAACTTAACAAATCATTGTAAGTAACACTCTTTATAAAATAATTATAAAAAGTATGAGTCAATTATCATTTGCACAAACCTATTTTAGCTTAAAGGTCCTCACATTCCCCTTGAATTAAAACGAATGAAACGCTAAGTACATCTATATCAGAACCTCAAATATAAGTTTTCTCTCGTGTCATCCTCTTAGCCGATACTTCTTGAGGCAACTTAAAAAGATATTAAACTAGACACTTTTCTTGTTTTGATTTGTAGAGTATAATGACTGTGGTTCTGATCCATGCCAGAATGGGGCCTCCTGTGAGGATGGACCTGGAACCTATATGTGTACATGTGTAGGATACTTTAGTGGAAGGGATTGTGAATATCGTAAGTAATGAAATGTGCTCAAATTGTTAAGGACAGCATCGTGATTGGTTTGACCACTATAGAATATTATTGTTTAAAATTACCAGGAAAAGGGGAGGGGTAATCAAATGATATCGACAAAATACAGGGGTGGCAATCAAACAAATTCGACGAACAAGAGACAAAACATGACAAGAAGATAACATACATATACATAGAACAATACAAGCTGCATATGCGTTGTCCATTTGCGTTTTTGATAACAGAAAAGGGATTCCTATTTCAAAAGGTTAGACAAGCTAGGCTTTGAATTACGTGTGTAGCCCTCACTTGTTAAAGTACGTCAGAAAAATTATGTGTGTAGCCCGTACATATTATGGAACATCTGATGAACTTTGTGTGTTTATTTGTAATTGTTGGGTAAAAGGCATCACGATTAAATCTAACATGAAAACTTATTGTTGATGTATACAGTTTTAAACACATATAAACGTAAAAGGGAGGCAGGAGACACTAAAGGGACATTCAAACTCATAAGTAGAAGACAAACTAACAACGCCATGGCAAAAAACTGAAAACAACGAAAAGACAAAGAAATAATCAATATAAAACAACGTGGAAAACAAGTAAAACAAGCTCCAACAAAACAAAATGTGGTAGTCCAGCAGGGAAAGATTCTGTTTACGTGTGACACCCGCGTGTTGCTATTGTAAGTACAAATTCGGTTATAAATCTAAGATTTTAATATAATTCTAGGAATTGAATGTCCTGAACCAGAAGATGTCGGAAATGCTACAATGAACTTAACTGGTATTTCTCCAACTGATACCGTTAGTTACACTTGTAATGAGTATTACAAACATAAAGACGGGGATATGTACAGGGTTTGTCAAATCAATGGAGAATGGAATGGAACACTTCCATCATGCGGTACATATTGGCATTTTTAATTATATTTTAACCATAACGATGTCAACAGCTTAAACTAATTTGATAGTATGGCATGTACAATTCTTTTTCTTTTATGACTTTTTATTACATAATGCATTTTGACAATTATACCAAGTATGAATTAGGAACCGAAGCACAGCTGTTTGAAGCATTTATGTAATCAAATGACATCAACAGATACGAATCTTAATCGTCAATAGACAGAATTTTACTCATCCTCCACTAAAAAAAGGAAAGATATTTTATTTTGACTTCAGTAGTCTTTTTTATAATTATAACAGAGATAATTGATTGCGGCAGACCCGAAGAACATTCCACAACGACATTGCAATTGTTCGAAACAGGTCTAGGACAGATCGCAACCTACGTCTGCAAAGAAGAGTCACCCATCCTCATGTCAGGCAATCTGACAAGGACATGTCAAATGATTGGTGAATGGGACGGTCAGACACCTGAATGTATGATGCATCCAGGTATATTAAAATATAAAATGCTTATTGATTAGAATTAATATTGGAACAATAAACAGAACAAATAAAATGCACAACAAACGAAATGTCTTTACATGTGAGAGGTTTAGCTAACTAGAAAACCAGGTTAAATCCACAATTTTCTACATAAGAAAATACCTGTACCAAGTAAGGCTAATAATTGTTATACATGTAAATAACAATACTTCGGCTATAGAAAATACGAAGACACAGAAACATACTTACAAGAAAATACTGCAAACTAAGACTTGGCACGACATTTTTCATATAAAAGAAAAAAAGATTAAGTTTGATACTTTGGTGATTAAAACAAACATTATATTTTTCCATAGGTGCACTCCAGTCAAAGGCGTCCAGTTTTAATTTCTCCTGGATAATGCTGAACACTATCATTTTAATAGGAGTGGCTATGCAAATTGCAATTTAACAGGACGGTGATATGATGAGTGTGCATTTACGATATCAACTGCGACAATATGGAACAACAACCCTTGATTGATTATACATTGTATTTTAAACCTTAATTTACTAATAACAAAATTAAAATCGATCATTCATTTACGTTCTACTAACTATTAAAATATTATCCAATAGTTCTTTTGTGTTACATGTTTTACAGGTTTATTTATTATAATTATTTTTACATTGATGTGACATTTTAGATTTATATCATTGTAAACTGCATATGCATATATATAATAATTAACTTATATGGTAAATGGTGGTAACAGATCATATTTGCAAATAACACTGTTTGACAAGATTCTTCTTCTTAAACATAAATATGAACATTAAAACATTACTAAGATACTGATTCTCTTTATTTTAAGAAGGATAATTGCTTTGATAAACAAGTGTTTTTTTCTCATGCTGAAAGTCTTGGAAGAACCAATAATTCTCTTATTCGCGTCATTTGTTATTCTATTTTGTATCTTTGTCTTTGATAAATGCATTTTAGATTTTGTTATATGTATAGACCAATAAAATATTTGTACTCACAGTTTTTTGATCGGATTAAAAAATGCAATCAATTGACCTAGACTTTTGGTAGGGAAAATGACATTTCACACCAATTATATGAACCTGTCAAGGTCTAAAACATCACATAACTACACCACACTTTCGTCATAGGACAGCATTTATACCAACTGTTTTAATAAAAGTTGCATTTGTTCCCAGAAAAATCAAGAAAAGCAACTCAAACCACAATGAAAAGATAAAATACATAAAGGGTAGAACACGAAATTGTGAAATCAAGCAAAAGATTGAAATGAAAGGAAAAAAAAACACCCACAGAATATTAGAGAATGCGCAACACTAAGCATTTAAAAAATACGAAAAGCATTTCCTTAAAGACAACATTGCAACCGTTGTTTTCTTCATGATATTTTAACAAAAAAAATTGCATTCGTCGAATAAAGAACGCTAAGAGGAGGATTGCATCGCAATAAATTTGAACAAAACACATCAATGGTTAAATATGTTCCAATTGTCGAACCTACAATTGATTGTAATTTAAGGACACGAGTAACTGATAAGCCCAAGAATAATATAGAAAAGAACATCCTATGGCTTTCAACATTGCCATATAAGCTGGAGGTTTGGATAGCAATAAAACCAGGTTCAAACCAACATGTTTTCCTTAACATGTCCCGTACCAAGTCAGGAATATGACAGTTGTTATCAAATAGTCCGTTTCTATGTATGTTGGCGTTTGTTTTTGTTGCAGTTCAGTGTTTCTGTTGTTCCGTTGTTTTCCTCTTGTAGTTGATGTATTTCCCTCGGATTTAGATTGTAACCCGGGTTTGTTTTCCTTAATCGATTTGTGACTATTTAACAGCGGTACACTACTGTTGCATTTATTTATGGTTTTCTTAACTATCATCGACATGTTTTAATTCTTTGTTTAGGAAAGTTTTTATCATACAACTTTTTTTATGAAAAGTTTACATCATATATAGATCCCGTGCCACATAACAATGCGTTCAATTATTTGTTATGTATTCAATGAAATTATCAGAATAACTTCAGCTTTTCAATTGCATTCTTGAAACACACAAATAACTCCAATTGAGTTAGAAAAATGTAAAACCAATAAAATAATATAAATATCTCAATGATTTGTGCAAGCAATTGTATTTTAGAGTTCATTTTCGGATATCTGTAAGAAAATGAAATTCGACGACTGGAGACATAATTTTCAGAAACCGGAACAACCTCTGCGGTTAGAGTTGATGTTTAGATACTCTAAGCTAGGCGGGTTCTTTTTGTTATAAAAAGAAGTTATTATAGGGTAATAGGTATTGCTTGTTTGTTATTTGAACTGTTTGTTAATAATATTTCCTATATATATAACTTTTACACGGTCAATGCCATTGCAGGTGAACTGCTAGTTGCCAAATGAAAGACAAGCGCAGTATTTAGTAGTTTTGTACAAAAATATTTGGGAAGTCAGTGGAGTCGAATAAAGAGTACAAAAAAAAAGTAATATTAGTTATTGAAGATGTGTAATGGAGTCAACTTTGATCTAAGAAGCTTGTTTTCCCTTTTATATTTAAAAGAAGTGTATGCACTTTTGTATCCATTTATTTAAAAACCAATTTTCTAAACAAAACGTTTTACTTCTAGCATATTTCTCATTCATAGAATGCTACATATTATCAATGCATACCAGGCTTATAATTTTATACGTCAGACGCGCGTTTCGTCTACATAAGACTCATCAGTGACGCTCAGATCAAAATAGTTAAAAGGCCAAACAAGTATAAAGTTGAAAAGCATTGAGGACCCAAAATTCCTCAAAAAAGTTGTGCCAAATACGGCTAAGGTAATAAAAGTCTAGGATAAGAAAATCCTTAGTATTTCGAATAATTCAAACTTTTGCAAACAGCAAATTTATTAAAATGACCATACAAATGATATTCATGTCAATACCTGTTATTTAGTTTGAAGGTATATGTTTATTTTTTTAATGAATCCATACGTGCAATTTTGAAGTGTCGTATATTATGTTGATGATGCGGTCTTGAAGGCGCTATGGTGAACAACGAGCGAATTCGTTAGTGGAGCCTTCTGATCGTGTTGTAATAGCTAATATTTTTTTTACTTTATTCAATCTGCATTTTTTCTAGTTTAACTATCCTGATATATTCCAATATGAAAACAATATTGTTTGTTTATACGGGATCTCACTTATTATTTAAAGAAAAAGCTTTCGGTTTCGGTTTTGCCGTTTACACATATATGTAATTGATCAAGTATATTGGGTCTGGACGAAACTGTATATTTGGATAAATTAACAAACGAACAAGGGATGCAATCAATTGTAAGTGTAATCTACCTAAGAGGATGGATGTTGTTGAAACAATATAAATATAAAAAAATTCTGAAATCAATAGACACCATTCCACTTTCACAAATAACCTTGCTATCAACTTTTAAAGATTGTGGGTCTATTGGATAGATAGTATTGTCAACTTCACTATCAAGTCTGATTCACCATGGAATTAAATGCATCTAATAGCATAGTGTAGCATTCTTCTGAACTATCTAAAATTACAAAAAATAAATGTTGTCTTAATTTCAAATCAAATGCTGCTTTTAGTCAAACATTTGTGCATGCATTTTGAAATTGTTTTTCAAATGAATATAATAAATACATAAATATACCGTATTTGTGTAAATTTTATCATTATGTAAAAAGTAATCATGGAAACGGTTTGAATAATTTTTACGACTACAAAAATATAATATATGACTTTCGTAATCGGGTTTGACAAAGAACACGTCATTATGCTATTTTCAAATACACGAAGTTTTCTTACGAGTTTGTTTAACTCGTAGTCAATCAAAAGCATCCGTTAATAACTCGCTGGTATCCGTAAATAACTCGTACCAACTCGTAGACATTATTAAGTATCCGTGAAAGCAGAGGCAAATTGACGTTAAAAATCTTCACAAATTGTCCACGGATTATTTGTTCGAAATATAACTCGTAACAATCCGTTAGTGTCGTAAACTGCTCCTAATTCTCTTGCAACATCACATAAACATTCGTTAACTGTTATAACTCGTATTAGAGATTTCTCAACATCTTACGAACGAGCGAAAATTTACCTAACTTGACGTAACTTGCCGTAACAAGAAAAGAGGGAGCATTCATTTATTCCATTATTTTGGACTATCGGCTGTGATCTTATTCCCTTTGAAATGTCTTTTACATAAAAACAAATATATACATTCTGGATTTTGTACGACCATTTTGAGTCGTAGACAAATTATATTGACTTGATATATATAAAAGAGAGGCGAAAGATACCAGAGGGACAATCAAACTCATAGATTGAAAACAAACCGACAACGCCATGGCTAAAAAATAAAGAGACACACAGACAAATAATAATACACAACACACAACATAGAAAACTAAAGACTAAGCAACACGAACCCCACCAAAAACTGGGGGTGACCTCAGGTGCTCCGGAAGGGTAAGCAGATCCTGCTCCACATGTGGTACCCGTCGTGTTGCTTATGTTATTACAAATCCGGTAAATAGTCCAATTCGGTAGTAGGTCACATTCGTGAAAAGGGAAAGGTGTTGTGTTTACGACATAAGGAACATATTCGATATCATCTGTGAAACGGTTATTTCATAACGGTCAACCAACTCGTGATTGCGTCCGTAAAATTTACGAAAAGATGATATATGATATCATATATAATATATGAAATACAATTTACGGTTTAATCAAAACAGTTGAAAATCTAATTGATCAATAAAAAAACATCCTCGGGGTAACTTCATTGCCCCAACTCTAAAATCCAAATGATCACTTCTTGAACTTAATTGATTATAACTGATTCATATTCTAACTAAACTGATAAACTCAAGAAGATAACTAAAGGGAAACATTGAAATAAATATTTGAAAAAAAAACAGTTAACACTTTAAAAAGATGTTCTGTAATGTATTTAGGTTTTTTTTTATTTGTTTTGTCTTCATGGCAGTTCTTATTCTCTTTGTGTTTGTTTTATAATCGTACACATTTTAGTATATATATAATTATTTTTTTTTTTCGTGGAGTTTTTATGGCATACATAAATAAGGCCGTTAGTTTTCTCGTTTGAATTGTTTTACATTGTCATGTCGGGGCCTTTTATAACTGACTATACGGTATGAACTTTGCTCATTGTTGAAGTCCGTACGGTGACCTATAGTTGTTAATTTCTGTGTTATTTGGTCTCTTGTGGAGAGTTGTCTCATTGGCAATCATACCACATCTTCTTTTTTATATGTATATGTTTTCTTCGGTTTTTATTTTTCTAATTTTTTCTTTTTACTTTGGGAATGGAATTTAAAGAAAATGTACCTTTTAAAAACTATGTAACTATCAGTTTGTTGGTGCTGTAGCACTCATACTTTCAACAAGAATACACAAAACTCTATAACTTTACGATTGATCAAGAGCACCTCTATATTTCTGTAACTTATTCCCAAAAAATAATTTAACAGCAAATCGGACCAATTGGATCTAGCGCACATTGAGACTTTCTTGTTGGGTGCTTTATTCAAGAGGCAGAATTTACCCAAACTGATCCTTCTTTATTCGTTCCATATTTATATAGGTGTGGATATAATAAATGAAAAATACTAAACTTGTGCCATCTCAATCACTTTTCAATTCCTTTTACAAACGCTAATCTCGTCGTGAAAAGCATGGAATACTTGCCACAGAACGTTAAACATCCAACAACCAATCAAATGAAATGCAAACCGGACGCGCCGATTATTTTTCACAACATTACAAACTGCCAATGTTCTTTTTTAATGGATAAGGGAGATAAATCGAACGCATATATTCGACATGTACACAAACGAAACTCAACGTAAGAATACGTAACATTCAACAACAGAAAATAAATTGGAACACCGATGTTCAACCACAAAAATAAAATGCAAGGTTGCAAAAAGACTATGCAGTTGTTAACTGTTGTCTTTAA